CCTGACCAAACTTCCCCTGCGCTTCGACCCACTTGGCCATGGTGGGGCGACTGCAACTTCTTGGGCAGACTCACACACAAATGACTAGGTTTGTTGTGGGACTGGCAGCGGACTTTGTTCATCATGCCAAAAAGTGTTGCGGGGCTGCTTCTTGGGCTGTACAAGCCCTAAGCTGCTTAGTTCAGTGCAAGAAGGTGTTCTCTTGTGCGTAGCCACCTCCATTTTCAACATCAAAATCCAGCCCGGTCTTCTCTTCGGCCGCTGGCTTTGGGGGTTGTCCCCAGCACGCTGAGATGTGCTGGAGCAGGCTTACAGCGCCTGGGACGGCAGCTGCGGGTTCCGGTCCGTAGATCAGAGCTGGGCTGGGGCCTTGGCTCTGAGGGAGGCTTGTTTTTGAAGCTGCTCTTGTCCGCGTGTCGCTTTGGCAACAGACACTTGCTGGGTACTTGTTGGCATCGCCCAACTGGGCAAAGGCTTCCTTGCTCCTGCTAGACTCGTGGTCTGTGCTGGCCCGTCTGGGCCATAGCGAAGCGCGAGCATTCCAAGTACAAATCCTATCTCAGATCACAGGTGAGCGCTGTCTCACACCACAAGTGGCAGGCAAGGGTGTCCCGGGTCACCCTGTCAATCCATTACACCTCGGTGATCTCCGACCCGCCTTACCCCGACTTAGCCGATGCTTACACGCAAGGATGTGGCTGGAGCACCCTGGTCTTGCACAGGGACTTGATGGTCTTGAGGTGTGGTTTCAATACCCTCGGACACATCAGTTGCAAACCTTCTAGGGCTGAAATCTGACAGTGCATCTTCTGCAACAAGTGGTACACTAGTTTGTTTTTCCACACTGTTCGTAGGTGCACTTGCCTCCAACAGCATCGTCCGCCTTTCTGCAGCAACCTCTCTGTCTTGCGCATGGTCCCCCGTGACCCACGCTTCTCAGAGATGGTTCAAAGGCTCGATCTTGGAGGGAGCATGGTGTGCGGGAGTCGGCGTAAAAGCAGGCTGCTCGAGCAGGGGGCATTGGGTTCCGGTTCCCTGGCTTACCGCTCGTGGGGCTTGGGGGCGAGGGCCGACTGCCTTCTATGCCACCCACCTTGCCCTCGCCGGGTACCGACACTTCGTGTCTTCAGACCAAACCAACCAACCCGTCAAGCACCTCGCAGCCGCCTGGAAATGCGGGTCACTTTGAGAAAGTGGCAGAGCTGGCGCAAGTGAAGGCTTTCGCAGCCATGCTGCGCTTCCTTGTGGGTGAGGGCAAGGCTTTCTCTTGGTTCCCCTTCAAACTAACCGCCTTTTTGGGGGTCCGAACAAAAAAGACCGAGCCAATGGATGACCGAAGCCGCGGCCTCCTCAGAGGTGCGGTAGTTCACCGTGTACATCCAGGTCAGTGGGATCGTGGTGAGCACAATGCAGGCCAGGTTCCTGGCCGGCGCCCTGTCTAGATGGAACGCCCCGTGTTGATTGGGAGGGGGGCTGTTCTCTTTGTGGGTTTTCACGAAAGGTTCGTTGGGGGTGCTGGGCAAAAATGGCAACCTGAAAACAAACAATGCTCATTGTGCGACGGGTGGCTTGGCGTCTTTCCAACTCGAGGCAACCGGCACTGAGCCCCTGGCCAGTTGTACCACTTCACGCGGTCCTGCGGGAAACAAGGACACGTGGGATTTTCAGCGGCAAAGGTATCAGCATCAAACAACTTGGCACAAATGCCACTTGGCTGTGACTCCAGAGCCTCACCGTCCTGGCATCAAACTAGGCGCGGAAATTCTCGGACATACTTCGACGCCCAGCATAAAGCTCACATATTGGTGGATGCAAGGGAAAATCACTGGCACAACAAAGGAACAAATAAAACATGCAAGCTAGTCAGATTGCTACCTCAGCTTTTGCAGGTTCGGGTAAACAAATATAGTCAGCCTTAAAACATGAAATGCGACCAATGCGCTTCGTTTGCCTGCGCCCCGAACGCCGCCCGGCCGAGCCAGAACCTAACCTGAAACTGTGATTTGTCCGTTGGTATCCGCGCTCCTCCCATGCTGATCTTGTTGCGTTGTGCGATTCGCAATTCGTACTTTGCCGACTTTCCTCGTCTTTTTGCGCGTTTGGTTTCGGATCGAGGGCGTCGTTTTCGAAGATCTAGTCGCAGAAGATTGCTTTCTTTTGCGATGATTGCTTTGCAAAGAGAAACCTATTCGCGCTGTGGCAAGGGTCGAAGCGCTCTCGTGGCGGCGCGGCGCTAACTTCTGCCCTGGACTCTTGTGGAGCCTGTGGGATTCTGTGAAGCGCTTCTCACCTCACGCTCCGGCGCAGTACAACCACAGTTCTAGCCTTCAGTGGCAGTTGTAGCGTGGACTCAACAACAGGGCTCCTTAGACTTGCTGGAATTATCACCCCGCCAAAAGAAAACTCACCTTACAAGGGCCAAACAAGTGATAGTTGAAACCACTAAAAGGGGAGCATAAAGACCCCTGAAGAAGTGAAACATGGTAAGGCGAGGTCCAAAAACAAGGGGATGTTCGAATCCCACCAGATTATCACACATGTTGGTTCGGGTCAGTCCACTTTTGGAGCTCAAAAAAAAGTGGGGTGGGGCGGGGGTGGCGTCCTCGTCCATCAAGTTGGACCGCCGAGCAAAGCGGCTCTTCGAGAACTCCGGGACTTCGATCTGTGCGAATTCGGAGCAGGCGCGAGCGACTTCGTTTTTCCGATTTCGGCGGCTGTAAACTACTACAGGGAATCTCAGACAGCCAAAGGCGAGGCCCGCAGAACCTTCTAGGGAGCTCTTAGAAGGGTCCTTGGGAGGGGTTAGAGGAGATTCTTAGAAGGAATCGGAGAACCTGAAAATATGCGCCAATCCCAAACCTGGTTGACCCCCTGCACTCATGATATCGGCCATTGGAAGGTGGCTTCAAGTTGCTGGGTGAGTCAAATGCAAGGCCCTCCCCCCATCCACACCGCCTTCATCATACGAAGGCGGGAGAACTGGAGAGCCCCGCGCATCGCCATGGCCTGGATGTTGTTGTTGTTTTTTTTTCTTCTTTTTTTTTTCTTCTGCAGACGATTGAACAAACATCACGCCCTTGTTACTTTGTGAATGGCCACCCAAGTCGAAGAGTTGAAGGGCTGTGGTCTAAGGTGATTGCAATTACTATTGCATCCCGCAAATGCCCATCGAGGGGCAATACCAAATGCAGATGTTCAAAGCAAGTGCCTGCAATCACTGGGAGATAGTACATGTTGGTCGCAAGATCAAACCAAATGCAAATTCAAATCTGAGACGCCAGCCCTTCCTTCCGCGCTCCTTTCAAAAAGGTGGGCGACTTGCATTCCCACCCAGTTGCACAGGGACCCTGGAGGAAAACGGAAGCCATCTGGGAATTCATTCCATATTGGGTTAGGGGGACGAAACAGCCCAGATTTCTGAGGAGACCACTCAAGCGTCGCCCAAGTTTAACCTCCGAGCCCTGCGCGCCTGTGACTTCGGGATACAAACGCCACGGAAACCCTTATGTCCTAGCTCTAGCCAAGTGAAATGCCGCGGGAGCCAAAGAAATGAGGTGCACTACAACAAGGGAACCGTGACCGTCCTGGCGTGAGGAGTCATTGGTTAACGTCCGCGAACGTGGGCTGGATTTGTCTTTTGGCCATGAACCATTGCAAGTTCCGCACGCTCCATGAAGCCGAGCCACTGGAACAGCCAGAAAAAGCGGCTCAAGCAACACAGCGGCAACAACACGTGCAAGACCAAACACAACGTAGGCCCGTGCGGCTTTCCAAATCGTTCACAGCCAGTAGATTCAAATGCGGCGTTTCTTCACCATGAAAAACAAGCCCCGCAGCAAGTTAAGAGCCCAGTTTCTGACTTGCACCCCTAGAAACTGCCCTGGCCCGCGAGCCATGTCACAGCCGTCCGATTGCAAGGCGGTTTTGGCAAGCTGGACTCGGCTCTCGAGCTTCCAGGCCAGGTTGGTTGAGACCTTAAAGTTTGCTTGGCCAAACTGAAAAGCTTTAAACAGATAATATGGCTAAAAGGGAACTTGAAGGAACGCCAAAACAACAATACGTCAATCATGCCGCTTAAATCCAAACTTTTTAAGCTCCAGAAGAAGGCACCCCCTTGAAGGACCTCATTGCCTCAGGAAGTCCGAGCCAACTTGTGAAGCCGTCGCTTTTGCCGAGCACCAACCAGCCTTCCTTGCCCATTGCTTTGCAACGAGATCCCTTTGAGGAAAGCAACGTCAAACACGCCTACGGTCATGCCTGCCGCATTTTGTACATTGCAAAAGAGAGAACGCATGCAATTGAGTGCTGAGACAAAAACGTGCATCTTCACTTGACCTGAGTTGACTGGTTGGAAATCGTCCTCTCTTTTGCTGAAATCAATCCTTTTGAACCAGGTAGATACGAACACCGCTCTGACAATTGGTGACATTTAGGGTTTCAGTGTATTTGCCACTCACAACTTGCACCATTGAAGATGCTTTTGAATGCAGAAGCTGGTTCCTTCCTGCTTTTGAACGGCTAAATGATGCGGATAGATACTCTGAAGTTCGAAACCAGAAAAATGTGTCCCTTGGGTCCCTTGCCCAACTCACGAGGCTCAGGTCCTCTCTGCCTGGATGCGAGGGCTTCTCGTCTAGCGCTGTGGCAACGTGCGTAGCCCTTGGGTTTCACGTTTTGTCGGGGGAGGGCTGTAGACGGACCGAACAAACCTGAAATGCCGCAAAGAAAGCCGTCAGCGAACACCGCAAACAACACTAGTCACTTGCACAAGGTTGAAACCAACAAATCCCAGCGAGACCCCAAGAAGGACATCAAAAGTACTATCTTTGGCCATGGATGGCTCAACTGGGCACCCCCCACCCCCCACCCCCGGTGGAAGCAAACACAACACCATAAATATGCCAACCTGGAATTATATATCATATTTCCAGAGACCCCATTGAACTGTTTGGCCAGTGACTTGTGCCCACAAGTGTGTCTCTGGACCAACTCAGGCTGGCCTAGTCCTTCTGCTTGGCCAGCCAGGCCCTTTGGCGCCGGTAGAAGCGGAGCGCCGGAGAGCTCCAGACGTAGGCGTTGTGGAGCCGCTTGCGCCGCAGCCAGTCCCGGCCCCCAGCGCTGGCAGCTTTGGGGTCGTTGGTCTCCCACTTCACCAGCTGCATCTGACGGCCGAAATTGCAAAGGTTTCACCAAGAGGACATGGTTGTGTGTGTGTTTTTTGTTTGAGGTTCCCTTTTCGGAGTGGGTTGAAGGGAGAACCAAACAGAAGACCGTCGCCATTTATCATCCAACAGGATACTGAGGGCAGCCGAACAAAGATTGCACGCGAAAAGTGGGTCTCTCTAAGCATCACCGCCAAGGCTTCAGTGGAAAGATACCTCGATGCTCAACCTTTCTGTGTGACGGTCCCGGGCACAAAAGCACGGGCTACAAAAGCATCTCATGGCCATGCAAGGCGGCTACCCAAAGCCATGCAAAGAACCAACAGGGCAACCTCTCCGCCGCACCGGATGGTTGGGACCCGTCCCCCCAAGCAGTCACCACAAGTTGGAGGAACGTTTTGGTAGTGGCTGATCGGAATGTTTATCATCCGCTGCTACTGGGCAGGGACCAACTGATTTCCAGAATACTGCGAGCACGCCACAAACCATGGCAGATTACAAGGCTTCCCTTGTTCCCTGGCAATCATGGCAAAGGCCGCCCCTGCAAACTGTTTTGGTAAGGGGAACCCTTGCAAGAAACCAGGAGCACAAAACCAGGTGGAATCAAAGCTAGCATGCATAAAACCAGGCGGAAGCAAAGCTAGCATGCATGGTTGTGAGAAATCCTAACCTTTTCGGTGGTTCGAGAAAAAGCTGGCAACCTAAAACCCAATGGTTCACAACCATGGAGGATTCCTTGGTGCTGCTGCAGTTCTACTGGGGTTCCTTAGCAGGCCCAAATCGCAAACTTCCCACTCCCCAAATCCGCGCAATCCGCACAATTCGAACCGATTCCGCGCACCTCGGTTTGCGCGACCATGCGGTCCATCTCCTGGCAAAAGCGTAGCCCCTCCAAGAAAAGTCGTGTCACCCGCATAGTATAAGTATAGGTGTCTTCCCGTTGGTTTCCCCTCATCACAACACACAGATGTTGCATGCCGGCACAAGCTACAACTAAACGCTTGCCTGTTCGTGAGAAAGCAATTATGCTCCAAAAAGCTGCCAACGATTGAAAGCGGAACCACGAGCAACCAAAAATAACAATGCTCATATGTGGGGCAACAGTGGGTTGGCTGCTAGACCATGGGTGTAACCTCCTCGCTAAGTGGGGAAACATCCAACCACCATGCTGCAATCATAAATAGGCTCCCCGGCATTTCGTCCCCAAAAGGCAGTCTCTACTCAACAGAACGAAGCCACACCACATGAGACATACTCAACACCTGGTGTTAAAAGGTTTACCCAAAACAGCAAAGAATCAAGTGGGCGGATATCTACACCTATTCCTTGTTGGGACAAGTCAACTGATTGTGACTCACCTGGTACGGTGGACATCCGCAAAAACTGCATAAGTCAACCAACCACAAACTGGCTCCCTTGTTCCCGACTTGTTGCATGCTCAACTAACTGTGGCCACCCTCTTTCAATCATGGAAGTGCCTGTTGTCAGCTTCCACGATTGTTGGAGGGAGGTTAATATCACGGGGAGGGGCATACAAGCACACGCATGATTGTCCTATGAGGCAATTTGATTGAAGAGAACCCCACAACCCCATCCGGGCGCGGGGGTTTCAGGGGTGTGGGTTTCGTGTGTTCTCTGTCCAGCAGCATGCTCTGCTGGGAAGCAACCAAGCAATATTGACAAGGGGGGGGGAGCGTGGGGGTATGCCCCTAAAAGCATCACGATCGGACATCCTAGGGGGGTGTCACTCACTTCCTGAAAAGGGCTCTGACTAAAAAGAGCCACCCCCCCCCAATGAATCAACCAGGGATTTCCTTTTGCAATTCATGACCGCGCAAAAAACGGTACCAACTGAACAAAAGACACACCAACATTGCCATGTTGCTTTCGTTTTCCGCCTTTGGCATGCTTTAGATGATTGATTTGGTAATTAATTTGTTCCGAGTTGCCACGAGATTTAGCATTTCAATTAGCATTTCAATTAGCATTTCAATTAGCATTTCAATTAGCATTTCAATTAGCATTTCAATTAGCATTTCAATTAGCATTTCAATTAGCATTTCAATTAGCATTTCAATTAGCATTTCAATTAGCATTTCAATTAGCATTTCAATTTGCATTCAATTTGCATTTCAATTAGCATTTCAATTAGCATTTCAATTTGCATTTCAATTAGCATTTCAATTAGCATTTCAATTAGCATTTCAATAGCATTTCAATAAGCATTCAATTAGCATTTCAATTTGCATTTCAATTAGCATTTCAATTAGCATTTCAATTTGCATTTCAATTTGCATTTCAATTAGCATTTCAATTTGCATTTCAATTTGCATTTCAATTTGCATTTCAATTGCATTTCAATTTGCAGCATTTCAATTTGCATTTCAATTTGCATTTCAATTAGCATTTCAATTAGCATTTCATTTGCATTTCAATTAGCATTTCAATTAGCATTTCAATTAGCATTTCAATTAGCATTTCAATTAGCATTTCAATTTGCATTTCAAATTTGCATTTCAATTAGCATTTCAATTAGCATTTCAATTTGCATTTCAATTAGCATTTCAATTTGCATTTCAATTAGCATTTCAATTAGTGCATTTCAATTGCATTTCAATTTGCATTTTCAATTTGCATTTCATTTTTAGCATTTCAAAATTTTGCATTCCAATTTGCATTTCAATTTGCTTTAATTTGCATTTTCAATTAGCATTTTCAATTTGCTTTTCATATTGCATTTCAATTAGCATTTAAATTCTTTCCATTTGCATTTCAATTTGCATTTCAATTTGCATTTCAATTAGCATTTTCAATTAGCATTTCAATTTGCATTTCTATTTGCATTTCAATTGGCATTTCAATTAGCATTTAATTTGCATTTCAATTCTGCCATTTCAATTTGCATTTCAATTTGAATTTCAATTTGCATTTCAAATTTGCGTTTCAATTAGCATTTCAATTTGCATTTCAATTAGCATTTCAATTAGCATTTCAATTAGCATTTCAATTAGCATTTCAATTAGCATTTCAATTAGCATTTCAATTTGCATTTCAATTAGCATTTCAATTAGCATTTCAATTTGCATTTCAATTAGCATTTCAATTTGCATTTCAATTAGCATTTCAATTTGCATTTCAATTTGCATTTCAATTAGCATTTCAATTAGCATTTCAATTTGCATTTCAATTAGCATTTCAATTTGCATTTCAATTAGCATTTCAATTTGCATTTCAATTAGCATTTCAATTAGCATTTCAATTTGCATTTCAATTAGCATTTCAATTAGCATTTCAATTAGCATTTCAATTAGCATTTCAATTCTGCATTTCAATTAGGCATATCAATTAGCATTTCCAATTTTGAATTTCTATTTAACCTTGCATTTTCAATTTGCATTTCAATTAGCATTTCAAATTAGCATTTAAATTTGCATTTCAATTTGGCACAGGATCCGCTTCTGCGAACTTGTTTTTTCAATTTGGCTTTCTTTTTTGCATTTCAATTAGCATTTCAATTAGCATTTCAATTTGCATTTCAATTAGCATTTCAATTTGCATTTCAATTAGCATTTCAATTTGCATTTCAATTAGCATTTCAATTAGCATTTCAATTAGCATTTCAATTTGCATTTCAATTAGCATTTCAATTTGCATTTCAATTAGCATTTCAATTAGCATTTCAATTAGCATTTCAATTTGCATTTCAATTTGCATTTCAATTTGCATTTCAATTTGCATTTCAATTTGCATTTCAATTTAGCATTTCAATTTGCATTTCAATTTGCATTTCAATTTGCATTTCAATTTGCATTTCAATTTGCATTTCATTTCAATTTGCATTTCAATTTGCATTTCAATTTGCATTTCAATTAGCATTTCAATTTGCATTTCAATTTGCATTTCAATTTGCATTTCAATTTGCATTTCAATTTGCATTTCAATTTGCATTTCAATTTGCATTTCAATTAGCATTTCAATTTGCATTTCAATTTGCATTTCAATTTGCATTTCAATTTGCATTTCAATTTGCATTTCATTTGCATTTCAATTTGCATTTCAATTTGCATTTCAATTTGCATTTCAATTTGCATTTCAATTTGCATTTCAATTTGCATTTCAATTTGCATTTCAATTTGCATTTCAATTTGCATTTCAATTTGCATTTCAATTTGCATTTCATTTGCATTTCAATTTGCATTTCAATTTGCATTTCAATTTGCATTTCAATTTGCATTTCATTTGCATTTCAATTTGCATTTCAATTTGCATTTCAATTTGCATTTCAATTTGCATTTCAATTTGCATTTCAATTTGCATTTCAATTTGCATTTCAATTTGCATTTCAATTTGCATTTCAATTTGCATTTCAATTTGCATTTCAATTTGCATTTCAATTTGCATTTCAATTAGCATTTCAATTTGCATTTCAATTTGCATTTCAATTAGCATTTCAATTTGCATTTCAATTTGCATTTCAATTTGCATTTCAATTTGCCTTCGGCTTTCTTCGGCCCCTTTCTCCGCTCCTTCAGCGAGGTGGTCCGTACCACGTCGCCCTCCCGCAGGCGCCGCGCCAAGGAGCCCTCCCGCGGAACCGCGCACCAGCGCACCGCGTCGTCCCCTGGAAGCAGACCCGGCGACCCCCTCCCCTTCCACCCCCAAGCAAAACGTCTAAACTCCTATGACGTGTGCTTCTTTTTTTGGGGGTGGGTTTCAAGGGAAACCAAAAGGAAAACCAATGCCATTTAGGGGGGTCCTAAAAACAGACACACCCTGTCGTTTAAACATCCTCCTTGCGACTTCTTTTTGTTGGCCATGGCTTCAAGCCACGTCTCCAAGACCCGCCCCTTCGGCATAACCTCACCTTGAGAGGGTCCAATTCACATCTACCCTCTTTCCAACAATGGCAGCTGACAGAAAATCGGGGACCCGGTCCCTGAACACGACCCCCACCAAAACTGGAGTGCTGGGGGGGGGGGGGACCGCAAAGCCCTCAAGAAGGCTCGAATAGACCAAACCTGGGGGACTGGTGTGTTTCAAGGGCTAGGAGCAGTTTTGGATTGAAGGGATATGAGAGGTTCCATGGGCTGGGGAAGAAGTGGGTTTGTCCTTAAATTGTTAAATTGGAGAGACCCCTGAACATGTGTGGTTTCAAGTTTGGCTTCCCTTGAAGAGTAGGACACAAAAATATTGGGGTTCCTTTGGCTCACATCAACAGAACACCAAAAGGGAGTCCCTACAAAAACAACAACACACCCACAAACAAGATTCAAACACCCGCAAGGTGAACATGTTGAAGTGACTATGAGCAAATAAGACAGGCTTCGCGGCTCACGCAGTTAATACTCCGCCCCCAACTTCTGAAATCAACATTGGCCGTTCCAAACAAATGGATATTCAAACATTTCAATCATTCCCAAAACGCGACGTACAAGGGTGTGTGTGTAATTTTAGACGATGCCATTCCTTGGGTTGTTAAAGGGCTTTGCAAAAGGGCAAGCCAGCCATCCATTTGGAACGACCCCCTCCCCCAAATTCCAATCTTGGCCAGACTTAGCCCGAACAGTAGACTGCTTGCTGGTGAAACCCAAAAGGACCAAAGGGCAAAAAGGTCCCGCTGTGAGTGTCCCACGAGGGCGTGGGCCTTTCTTGCAGACTTCCAGATGCCATCAGATGCCTTTTGTCGCCCGTGACGAACCGGGTTAACGTTGACCCCTGATTGATAACCACCCCCCCACTTATTCATCAGGAAGGTCCCTGCAGTGGGGATTCCTTTCTTCCATATAAACAGCCTGAATAACACAACTGGGGGGTTTATTAATTCATCAGGGGTTAACATCAGCTGAGTAGGGTCACAAAACCCTTTAAGTGGCTCTCGATTTAGATAGTGGAACATATAAATTGACAAGTTTAAGATTACCAGTTGAGTTGTAGCTTCTGCACCATCCAAGTGCTCCTTCGGACTTTGAGGCCCTGGCCTAAGTGCAGTACCAGGTCGCCCCCCGCGATCACCGACTCTCCACGGGTGGCCAGCAACGTGGCCACCTGGCGCTGGGTTCCCACACCGCAAGGGGAGTTAACTCGGTGGATTTCTATGGGACAAACGGGGCACTTGTTTCAATGCTTCTTGATGTTAAAGGGACACCCCTCCGAAAAAATGGAGTAAGGGCATCACTGGAGGTCTGGGCCGAGGGTTATAAATGAACGTTACGTGGGATACTTTTTGGGTTTGTTGGGGGTTAGTTGGGGGTCAACAGTGCTCACTGCGGTTGACAAGGGCTCGACCAGTGGACATCTTGGCAGATCAAAAAGGGAGTCAAAGTACATCTCCACCAAGGTACTTTGGACCCGCAACCATCTTCCACGATCCACGACTAATTGGCCGTCAACCCGCCAGGTTATGACAACTACCACCTGCGCTACCCCAGCACCTTTTGACTCTTGCCCACGGCTCGGGACAATCTACAAACTACCAATCACATAGCACAAACAAACCACACGCACACACACACATTGTGCCTCAGCATAACAATAGTCCAATCAAAGCAACCACAACGCACAGCGAGCCAACCAACCCACCCACACACCCACCCAACCCAACCCAACCCACAATGTTCAAAAGTCCGCTCAGCATCGCTCAGCTATTGAAACCTATCCAACTCTCCACCTGATCAGATTTCTCAGCTGAAACAATATAAAACAACACGCGCCTGGCTGGGGTCTCGAAAAACTCACAGGGTGTGTGAGGCTGAAGCATCAATCAGGGGCCTAAACACTGCCGTGACTCGAGGCGCGATACTGAATCCAAGCTTCGCCTCGTTCTTGAAGACCTCTTGCGTGCCAAGCGGATTGCCATCCAGACCTGACTGGCATGGGTGCGAGGTCTACAAAATTACACATCCCCCTGTAATTTCCTTCTGGTTTTAGTGGGATCTGGTCTGTTTAGCACCCATAGCTTTGGCTCGCGTCAAATCGTGGAGCTTCGAATCAGTGCGGCTCTTAGCCCAGGAAAGCAGCACCCAGGAGTCAGATTCTGTGCGCCTCACGGCTCCTAGCATATACCGTTTCCCCAAAAGGGATCCTGAAACCTGTGGATTTTGGGCTCTACCAGCATGGGTATAAAGGTTTACATGGGTGTGATTTACTCCGTTGGTCTCCCATTCAACCAGGCCCAAAAGGGAATCCTCAAAAAGACGCACACCCATATTTGGGCCTTTCTAGCATTCCACTAAGCCAGGTAGACCCCAGAGCGGCACATAGGAACTGGGTTTTGGGGGCTGCTCTGGGCCTGAACTTGAGCCCTGTGCGAAGCGTGTCCAGATCAATGCGGTTCTCACACAAAGCACCGATGAGGTTCAACGCGGCAAGGCTGTCCAGCTTGTTTCCTGCGAGCTTCTCTCAAAGCTGCGGGGATTTCGAGGGGGCATAAAGCCCAACAGAGGTTTACTGGATTTTATAACCCCGTCAAAAAGCAAACCTTTCAATGGCCAAGCAGAATTATTGCAGTCCCATGGCGAAGGAAACAGTGGAACGCCTCCCTCTCAAGTGATGGAGGAAGGCCAGAGAGGGCTGGTGCTCCCAGCTTTCTAAAGCAAGGCCCTGAAATGTTGCCCGGCTTTTGGTAGAAAGTGGAAAGAAAAGCAAGCAGTGGGATCAAAACAGTGAAACCACTGGGCAAAAGGACCAGTGCATAGCAACACACGTACAACGGGGTGGGATGCTGGCGCTCCTGACTTTCTGAAACAACTAGGCCCTTTAACCACCCCAGTTCCTTCTAAAAGGACTAATTGAGACGCCTCAAAGAGCGTTGCAGTGAGCAACCTACTTCCAGTACCTTTGACAAAAGCCTTTTGTTGACAGGAAACCCGGGTGGAGAGATGGTGTTTTCTACATCAACCTGAACCCTGACACCATAACTATTCAAGGAGTCTTCCCCCAAAATAGGTAATTATGGACTTTAGTTGGGGACCCTTTGGTGGACATCATTTACATGGAAACTTATGTCCACCCAACGCTTTAGAGGGTATTCCTCAACAGAAACAATGGCCAAAATGTAAAGAGTCAACAGGGCGGCCGCATCGGTTTTGCTTGGGACTGTCCATTAACCCACTCTCCCTATTGAGCCTATTTGGACAAGGAGTGAAGTGGAATTCTGGTAGACTCTTTTGTAACGAACATATTTGCCCCAGAAGAACATTTAGCACTGGGAGGGGACCGCAATTGGGGGGAGGGATTACTCACCTTCATACACTCTGGTTTGATGATATGCTTGTATTGGTGTTGACGTCGGATCTTGACATTGCCTGGCAACTGGCAGTGTGGAAGTCCGAGCCGACGAAATCTGATAGCACGCTTCTTTGCGGGGGCTTCAACCGCAACAATGGTTCCCTCAAGACAAGACACGCAAAATGGCTCTCAGTCATGCTATTGGAAAGCTCTCAAATATTGAGCGAGTGCAGCGTCCCGAAGAAAGCAACATGCTCACACAACCTAGGTGCAGCAGGCCTGAGTTTGGCTTGTGCTTCACTTGCTATGCTTCTCGCACATCAGTAACAGCTGGAAATGGAGCCATCGTACTATGAGCGTGTGTGTGTGTGTGGGTGGGTGGGTGGGTGGGTGCGTGTGTGCGTGTGTGCGTGTGTGTGCGTGTGTGCGTGCGCGCGCGCGTGCGCGTGCGCGTGCGCGTGCGCGTGTGCGTGTGCGTGTGCGTGCGCGTGTGTGTGTGTGTGTGTGTGTGGTGTGTGTGTGTGTGTGTGTGTGCGTGATTGTTTCTCGTTGGCTCTTCCCTTTGGTTCGTAGGGATGCCACAAGAAGGAAGGACAATCTTTGGGGTCCAAATCCCCGCCCTGCCCAAGACGAATCGCCCACCTGCCAGATCCAGGCATTGCAGGCATCTGAGGCTCTTCACCGTGATGAGAATTGCCTGACATGCACCGCAATCGAAACCTAGCGGCTTCAGAATGGACCCATGTGAGAATCAGAGCGGAAGTTCAAACCTATGGTTGGGACCGTTCCCCATTGCCCGGGTTTTGATTTGGCTGCCAATGGGACGAGTAGCGCACTAAAATTGGGAACCCTTTGGTATCAGGTTCACAGGGATTTGACCCCTTTTGGTTTCCTTTTGCGGGAATGAAGGCAATCATGGGCGGTTTGGATGTGTCATGATGTGTCTCAAAACTCCAAATTGGTGGTGTTCCTCTAATTTCCTGCTTTCAACACCCAAAAGCGCGGTACCTCACACACTTCTTGGCGATTCGCAAGAGAGGGGCAACTGGGCCTGCAAGTGGGAGGGGTCGAGGTCGCATCCTTCCAGGTCGAGCATGCGCACGGTGTCCCCAGCCTGCGTCAAACCAACAGGTCTGTGTGCGGGGGCAAAGGGAAGCCAAAAGGAAACCAATTTGTAGGGTCCCCCAACCAATTTTGACACCAGGGCGAAGAAGGTCATGTCCCCTTCTGGAAAACGTGGGCTCAGGTGGCATTGCTGTCCGCAGTTACAAAATGTGGCTGGAAGACATTTCAACGTGAGTTGTCCCTCGTAAAGCGAGTTTATCTTTTTTCATTCATGTGCAATTTGATGCTGATGGTACCGTCCAAACAAACATGGAATTGCAAAGGAACCCTTTCCAACAAGAATGTAGTCTTCCAAAACGGGGTTGGGCCCTTCCGTGTTTGTTGGTGGGAGGGTATACCTGTGTGTGTTTTTTGTTTGACCAAGAGCGTAGACCTGAGAACCTGAGGACCTGCTTGTGTCCATTGTGATGATGTCCATTGCACTTGCGTCCTGATGAACGCCATTGACATCCAAGCCACTTTCATTCACCGCCAGTTCCAGGCCACTGGCGTCTGTTGCACACATTTCTGCCCCTCGTTTCAACCCCCCCCGTCCCCGGAAGCGGAAGTCGTGGCCAAACAACGTCTCCTACATGTTCTCGCGGGTACAAAGGAAATCACGCATGGAGAATGGTCAAAGCGCTTCCTGGTGCGGACCCATCAAGCTATATGGAACTACCAGCATCTAAAGCCTGGAATTGTCGGCCTGAGTCTTGCAAGATGCAATGAGCTAGAAAGCTTACCTGAAGTGCTCTGCGTCTGCTGGAAGCTTAGGCAAATCTTCCGAAATTGGTCAATGTTCCTAAAAGAACAATTCCTACCATGGTATTCCCAGCGGGCAAAGCTGCACAATTGTACACATTGCGTTCGTCTCAAACGTATGGACCTCCAAAATAGTTGGTCCTGTTGTCCTCTCTTAGAAAACATGGACCCACATGAGCAACGGCCAAAATTGGGTGTTTCCCCAAAAGGACAGGGGAAATCTCGGCTTTCTCTCTGGCTTTTCTGGAAAGCAGCGCCCAAATGACCCCTGGTGTGGGGTCTCCTCACTGCGACGCACTGGGATCCAGGCTAGGGTCAGCAAAGAGAGGGAGTCCTGAGGAGACTCCGGCTGAGTGCCACTTGTTTTGGGTTCCTTTACCGGAAACAAGTTTCATCATGCTAGTCTCAAATTTCCATGGGTCCCATGACCTTCCCTGTCAACTTCAATGTTAAAACTCCTAGCCTGCGATGGCAACCTAAGAGGAACCCTCATCATGCTCACCTAAAGCCCCTAACAGGTCATGACCATCCCCACCAAGCCCAAAGGGAGTGACCAGGTCCCCTTTTAAACTTGGCCCAGGCAAGTACTGACATGATTTCCCTATGGTCGTGACTTAAGTTGGTTTCATGGTGCCAAAACCATTCTAACTGTTTAGACGCTATTTAGACGCATGTAGCATCACTCCAGGTTAGGTCAAAAAGGCAAGGGCAATACCAAAAGAAGGCAGACCCATTTGGGCTCAAAGTGGACAATCTGCCTGGTCAAACATGCAATATGCTTCTGGCTAGTTTATAACGAGCTCACCAATGCGGGGATAAAACGAGCGAAAGTCATGATATAAACCCGTTGCTGGGGACCCATTGTTTGGTTCAGGTTGTGCAAGAAATGCAAAACACATTCAGACGGTTGATTGGTGCACATAGCTTCTTAGTCATGTTTATGGAACAGTGTCAGGGGCAAGTGTTTGACTTCCACTAGTACTTCAGCCAGACACACATTTCTGCTGAGCTCTCAACCCTCGGTTTTCAAAGGCGGAGCTCGCTAAACTGTGTCGTCTGTTGCTTGTTTTTGACATCACCTACTCCCCTTCCAACAACCGTGGACGTATGTGGACACGAGGGCTTTGGAAGACTACTGCTTAAAGCGGCCACTTGTCCACTCCCTTGATTGCTTTGAAAAAGGATATGGCTGTGGGTCAAAAATATGTACCCAAAATGGAATCCTGGTAAATAGAAATATGGACCAAAATCTGCGGTTTTCGGGTGGTTGAATTTTGACCCATTCCCAATATATTAGTATTGTAATTATTGATTACTCTTCCTGAACACCATCGAGTCCTCCGAGACGAAGCCAGCAGTGCCCTGCAGGCTGATGCTCCGAAGCTTGGGCCCGTAGTGCAGGAACATCTGGCCGTCGGAAGGACGGAAGGGAGAGGGGGAGTGGCCAAAAAGTGCAAAGAGCCGCCGTGCCAAGCGGGTGAAAGGGAAGGGGAAGGCCCCCGAGGGGCGGAGGGGGAGGGGGAAGAGGGGGCCACCCGGAGGGGCAGCGGAAAGGAGGGCTGCTTCAATATCCACCACGCATATATTTGCTGGCTCAACACAAGGGCTGGGTGTGGGGTTGGTCGGCCGCATCCAGCTCGGACCTGGATTTGGTGCCGGTTGAGAGTTGCTTGGGGCTGGTTTCGGGTGAGTGTTGGGCTTGCTGAGATCTTAATGAGGGCAGGTTTTGGGTTTGCTTGGGGTTCATTCAGGCTCGGCAAAGGTCTGATATCCTGGGTGCTGTTGGGTGGGCTTAAGGTCGACTTTGGGTCGGTTTGGGTTGATTTGGGGTTGATTTGTGCTAGGTGTGCGGCTCGTCTTTGCAGTGGCTGTGCCAAACAAACCGAAGACCCGCCCCCAAACCTCCAGCCCCGTGCAACTGGCAACTGCTACCAATCAAAGCCACTGGGCTGCCCTAGGTTCGAGGTAACCCCGACCGTCCAACCAATCAACCAACCAGCCGATAAAAAAAACAAAAACCGATTCCTTCGCCCCGCCCCCCCCCCCCCCCCCTGTCAACAAAAATATCAATGCAAGCAGGCAATCAAGAAAGCAAAACAACGCAAAGCAATAACAGCAAGGCCATTCCTCCCTCAAGTGTTGCTTGAGTGAGCCTCCATCATGCCCTCGAGGAGGATGGCCCCAGGATGAAAGTGGACCTCAGGAAGCCCGCACCATGCACGAACTGGAGAAAGTTGTATGAACGATCCTTTCCAACCCTGGGTAGCTTGGCAAGATAGGCTTGAGCTCTGTGCGGCCCGAACCAAAAACAAGATCAACATGCCGATAACAATCATGGATTCCTTCACAATGAGCCACTCTCAACTCCCAACCCTCATTCCTCATTCCTCAACTTTCAACTGCATAGAGACTAGGTGGCTCGGATTGCTCTTGAACTATCTGCATCTGACACAACATACCCCTTCATTATCATGATCTTCCCTACTCCAAATGCTTCGCATACTGGCCAAGCGGTCGCCCCACTGCTCTGTGGCCCTGAGAGCTGAGCATTGACTATCTCCTCCTGCAAGCATCATTAGATCAACTGACCATGATGCAATCCTTGCAGGTTCTTAGGTATGCACATGGCCGCAGTGGCGTCCTTCCTCTTCATCTTTATGATTCCAACTGCGCAAGACACCATCAGAAGATGCACCACAAAGCGCAGGTGCTGCTATTGGCCCCTTCAACTCTCATATGGGGCATCCGGTGGATGGCACGGGTCCTTCTACGCAACAAATGCCGTTTGCAGAATTTTGGGCTGTAGGCTATGCACAATGCTCGGTGTGTCCTGAAGCAATCACGGCCGCATGCCTTTGGTGGTCTGAAAGCTTCAGACATTACCAAAGAACTGTGAATGAAGTGCCCTTGGGGAAGGCGACGGGACAGCAAGGGAACTCCTGCCAGCACCCTTCGACTGCTTCTTGGACAGCACTTAGAGGTTTTAAATCGAAGGTGCGATTCGGTTGAAAACGGCAACTCCTCCACAATTTCGAACCCTGCTGGGCACACGAGACTCCCATGGCTCCTCAAAGGCCATAGCAGCGTATAGCAGCCTGGCAAGCACCAGCAACACGTAGATTTCCATGGGAAAGAAGGGCACCCATTTCTTTTCATGTCAAAGGGAAGTCCCTCCAAAGGAAATCGGCACTGGAAGGTCTGGGGCTAAAGGCCAACATGATGCTCAATTTAGGTCACTGGATCCTCTCAAGGGCCCATGTTGCGCTCAAGGAGCTTTCTTGTGATGTGGAAATGACAGAGGGAGTGCAAGGAACAAATCACTCCTGGTGCCCCTGAAACTTGCTCTCATGGACTTGATATTGCAATCAGTCAGGAGTCCAAAGACTCAATGGCTCCATATGAAGAAACTCCTGAAACTGTATTGAACATGGAGCTAACACAACAAGCGCAGGAAATACATAAGCAAGTGTTCACAAGAGTCTTGCCCGTCTTTAGGCAATGAACTACAGAAGCCAGCGTCCCACCCAGAGTGCGGCCCTTGTGGGCAATGACTCATCGAAGTAAACGGAACACAAGACACCTGCCAACACATCTAGATAAATGATATATAATGAAATCATAATGAATGATACCAACTTCGACTTCATGTCATGCTACACCAGGAATGCATGTGGCACTGTCTTGGGTACGTGGCAGCGGTGCCCTGCGCTTCCGTGGAGGGCCCCCGGCAAGCCTTCCTGTGGAGCGAGGTGGCTTGTTGGATTCGTTTCGGTGCCACCGAAGGAGCCGCTGCTTTTTTCGGGCTAGCTGTGACAAAACCCCAAGTCGGGCCAAAACAATTGCACTCCAACTGACCGAAGAAATGGGCCAGGCCATTTTCCAGAACCCAGTCAAGTTACCCCACAACCGATTCTAACTTATGCCAACGCCAAAAACAATTGCTCAAAAACAGGAAACCTGGAAGAATCGCAAACCTCGGGCCCAATGAAGTCCAAAGTCCAGAGCTCAACGCTTGATGTGGGCATTGTGGGCTCGATGCTTGGATCAGCTTGCCCATCACAACAGTTTTTTTGGCCAGGGTGGTCTGTAGCTTAAAGTCATGATAGCTTCTGCATCCTCTGCGCTTGGTGCTTCTTGACAAGCTGGCATCCAAGTTGCTACAAATACTGCCAAGCTGAATGGGGTCAAAGTCGAAGCTACTTGGCCGGAGTGTGTCACGAGACAAGGACCAGCAAGGCTAAGCAAACATAGCTTAACTGCTCTTGAACTTGCACGTCAGCCAACACGAAATCGCTCTCCCACACAAGTCAATAGATCAAACATCCGTCCGAAACCAATGTGCTGTCTCTGTTAGTCATATCGTATGTGTTGCTTGGCCTCAAGCTTGGGGAGACATGTACCTTCAGTTGCTAGCCTGGGAGCTGCGAGAAACACGTATCCATCAACAGAGGAAGCATCGCAAAGGGCTAGGGATTTGCGAAATCCCGGAAGCAACGGGTTCACGTCACGCCAAAACGCTTTGAGTAGAGTCTTCGGCCCAGCAGATCTGATTAATTAACCATCCGATCCTTGCTAGTAGTTGCAGGGGTTGCGTGCTGCCCAAGACGAGTCCACGCAATTCGGGTTGGACCGTTTTAGTGGTGATCCACCTGAAAGAGGTGGGGGGCCAGGGTCCATCCTAAACTGCTTCCCTGAAAACATGCGGGAAAACAGCAATTGGAAGCTGGGATTTCTGTTTTAGAGAAGGACATGCAACCACCAGCATCTTCAGATGGGCCTGTCTTTGTTTGAGGGTACCTTTTTGGGATGGTTTGAAAACGCAAACCTTGAGACAAACCCAGACGTTGGAAGTGATGGAATCCGCCGACCCCTACTCCTGAAAGGGGGAGGCGTACGGGAAGGGTGATCGATGATCATAGTCAACACTTCAAGCTGCCAAAGCTGAGTTGTCTCACCGCGTGGCGCTTACTTAGAGCCAGCGCTGGCCTTATCATGATCGTCATGATGGTCATCACGATCACTCTTATCATCCTCGATCATCATCGTCTCGTGTGAAGCAGCATTGATAATGAAGAGGATGCTAGGATGGTAGTTGTCATGACGGTCCTCAATGCTTATCATCATCCTCACGACCATCATCATCTCTTATGAGGCAGCATTGGTAATGCAGAGGGTGCTACAAATCGCAGCTATCATGACCGTTGTCATCATCATCATCACCGTGAACATCATCATGGTGGTTGTTCGTCACCTTTTATCGTCTTGATGGCCATCATCATCTCTTTCTCGTAAACTTCTAGATATACATGTCAAGTGTGCCGTTAGGCAGCATTGGAAAAGCAGCGGATGCTACGATGATAGTTATCATGACAGTCCTCATCCTTAGCATCATTCTCCTCACGGTCATCATCGTCTCACATGAAGCGGTTTGGGTAACGCAGAGGATGCTACGATGATAGTTGTCATCGCCATCCTCATCCTTATCATCATCCTCACGATCATCATTATTTCTTCTGAGGCAGCCTTGCGATCATCCTTGTTTCTTATGATGCAGCATTGGTAATGCAGAGGATGCTACGTTGATAATTATCATGACCGTTATCGTCCTTATCATCCTTCATCATCTTGACGGTCGTCATCATCTCTTTCTTTTACTTTTCTATACACAATTCAAGTGTGCCGTTATAGGCAGCATTGGCAATGCAGAGGACGCTACGATGATAGTTATCATGACCGTTCTCATCCTTAGTGTTCTCATCCGCGCGATCACCATCATCTTTCATGAAGCAGCATTGGTGATGCAGAGGATGCTCCGATGATAGTTATCATCGCCGTCATCATCCTTATCACCATCATCACTATGTCTTATGAGGCAGCATTGGCAATGCAGAGGATCCCGAACAGCCTGGAACGGTGTCCGGGATGTGTCCCCAAACAAGCTTTTTGGGGACATATCAGCGCACATTTTTTCTTGGGCCCCCTGGTGAAACACGTGGGCTGGAGCTTGGCCAAGTGCTGGTGCAAACGCTGAGGAGGTTAGGCAACCACTCGAAAAACCAGAGTCATACTTGGGAAGACAGTCGTTGTTCGGGAGGGGTTCATGCTGAGCTACACAGTAGTTGCGGAGGGTTTGCCGGGAAGTGTCTCCAAGCAAGCACACAGCCAGACGGCATGGCAGGACACTTGCTGTCTCAGGGGCGTGTCGAGATCTGGCACGAAACACGCTGTGGGTCAAGTCTCTGTTGAGCGCCAATTCTCCAAAACGTCCTGGAACGAAGCGTTTGCCGAAGGATGTCCGGGACACGTCCCCAAAGACACTTTTTGGGGATGTATCAGCGTTTTTTTTGGAAGCCTGCAACCCTTGTGGCGCATCCTCCTTGGAACCACGCCAAGTAGTCCAAATGAGAACAAAAGCCAACCATTCGCGGAGGGGTTTCCGGCTCCGGGGGGCCATCGGCACGACATGCTCGGAACGAAATCCGCGTGGTCATCCTCGTCACCGCGATCATCATCATGATGGTTATTCATCTTGATGGTCATAATCATCTCTTTCTAGTAGACTTCTAGATGTACATTAAACACCATCGGCAATGCAGAGGATGCTCCAATGATTGTTGTCATGACAGTCCTCATCCTTCTCATCATCCTCACGATCATCATACTCAAGTGATTCACATCTATGCGGATCACTCCAGTTCAGAGGATGCTGCTATGCTATCATTATAGTCTTCATCCTTGTCATCATTCTCATCACGGTCATCATCATCTATTGTTAGACAGCCTTGGTAGGACGATGCTGGTCATCATGACAATCGGATAGTCATCCTTACAGTCGACATGTCCTCCCTATGAATGCTGGAGGACGCTTCAAGTGATCTCAAATCTCTGCAGATCACTCCAATGCAGAAGATGCTACGATGATAGCTGTCATCACAGTCTTCATCTTCGTCATCATTCTCATCACGGTCATCATCATCGTCACCCTCAAGCGGCTCTGCCATGTCTGCCTGTGCTGTGTTCCTTGTTGCCATTGCAGCCCCGCCCGTATTTTCTTCTTCTGTGACAGCTACTGTACGAGCGAAGTCGAGCTGTTCTGGGTTCAAAAACGCCTTGCCGGACGGGTCTCGCCGCTGCGCAACTTCCGCGAGCCAAGCGCTCGCCTTGTCTGCGCGGCTGCTGGGTTCCATCACGCTCACGTTGGCCGCTGTTGCCTCCTCCGCAGCTGCGTTGCCGCAACCGAGCTTTTGATGTTTTTGTCGCGCTGTCTTCAGCAGCTGCTTTGCGCCGCTCTGTGCACTGCTGGCGTGTCTTCGGCGCTTGCCCAGGTTGCGCTCGCTCGCTCGCACGCGGCGACGGTGAGCTCCTCTGACGCCACTCTGCTCTACGCTAAGATCCAGCGCCGTGTCTCGCTGTTTTCTGCTGCTTCTTTGCTGGGACGGACGCGATGCACAGAGAGAAAGTTGCCTACGTGGCGCATGGTTTCCTCGCAGTTGATGACGCGCAGCCACCGCCGCAAGGCTTCGTCCCACGATTCGCTCCCACCCTTATAAGGCTGCTTGCCAGCGGCGCTTGCGGTGTGCTCCATTGCTTTTGCAGTGTCCAAGGACGAAAGTACGCCTCGCAAAGGGTTGCGTTGTATTCGCTTCACTCTTGCGGCAAATCATTAAAGGATGGTGGTGTTGGACACCAATTTGTAAGGCTCCTTTAATTGGAAGGAGCCCTTTAAAACCACCCCGCACAAGCAGAGATTTACCTGGAACCTAATCAACTTGAAGCCATCCTTCCTCGGCTTTCCCACATGTAGTGCCATGAACCTGTTGCCCTTGGCGCTGATGATCTCGTCAAAGCACTTCTTGCGCCGGCACAGGCGAATCTGTCCCAGCAGCTCAGGAATGCTTGGGAAATCCACAATCTGTCCAGAATACGGCCTTCGAATTTTTTCCCCGCCTTGGAGCATCCAAAGGTCTGGGTTCAGGGGCTCTGCAGCGCGTATGCCCTCCGAGGCTCACAGGCTTCCGTTTTGGCGCTGGCCCCTAACTGGCGGCTCTCAGATTGGTTGGATTCGCAAAAATTAAGCCCGAGACTGCGGTTCTCAAAAAAATGTCCGCCAAGCCCGCTTTCGGGTTGCTTTGGCTCGGCTATTCGGAAGTTTACAGTGAAACCGAAAATTCAGGACAGCATTTAACGGTGAATTTTACAATTGGCCCAAAGGAAGCCAAAACCAAGGGAACCTTAGAAGAATGGGTCGGGGCCGAGGCCGCAGGCCTATCCCGGAGGGCTACTGTACCTTCAGCTATAAGGCCGTCCGCCCCAGGCCGCCAACCATGCGCCGAACATGAGCCGACCATGAGCATACGTTTTGCGCTGGGCCCGCCCTTATAAGGGGCGAAGGATTTGCGGATTAGTTTAGGTGATTTTCGAGGATTGTTGTAGCATCTCCGTGCGGCGTCCGAAAACGAGTGTTTTTGGGGGTGCCTAATACCAGCACTGCCAGCATCGTCCCGGATGATGCGGATGATGCTATGCTTGCTGGCGATGCGAAAAAAGGGGCTGAAAATTGCAGAAAGCGAAGGGGAAATGCAGGGAAACAGTGGAAATGCACGAACATGAAGAGGGCACTGGAGAGAAACCAAACCCTCCCTCTCTCCCTCTTGCTCCGCACGAAAATAATCTGGGCGGTCTTTGTGTGGTAAGCCCAGGTTCCGGTTGGCTCCTCCTGGTGGGCCTTGCCCAGATCCTCTCCGCGCTCAACTTTGCCCCGGATCTGGCGGACACGGATTGCGCAGAGCGCAAAGCGGTCGTTGACGGCATAATTGCCCCCAAAAGGAGCAGACCAAACAAGTGCAAGGGTTGAATAGCTAGAGGCACAGAGTCAAACAACCACTTCTGCCAAATTCTGTGGCCGTTTGAACTTCTCACACTCTGACAAGGCCCGAACATTTCACGGACATGTGCGCAAAAAGGCCGGTGTGAACTGACTAGCGCCATTTGTTGAACCATCACCACCCAACAACTCACAATGCTCAAGCAGCAAACGCTAGCCCGGCAGTATCCCAAACTCTGCAGGTGCATGCACAGAAAGCTGCGCACACTACACCCTGGCGGTGTGAATATGAATCACCCCAGTAGTTGATTCCCATCCAAATCAGGACCGTTTTCAAAGTCTAGCGTTTCTACCCAAAGCTCCGGAATTCCCGTTGGCGATGCCGCATCCCCGGTTGCATGCCTCAGGATCTTCGAGGTCGAAGTCCGGCCTTGCCCAAACTGGCACACCAAGTGCCGATTTTGGAACCGTGGAGTGTGGGGGGTATGAGGAGTAACCCCCATGTCCTTTTTTGGTCGGCGTGCCAGATGACAGTAAATGTTAGCCGTTGCTCATATTTGAATTAAACCTTGTCTCTTAGTGCCAAACTGGGAGGGTTGGCCCCAATTGACTGGGCTGCTCCCCTCAGCTGATGGGAGACGATTTGACGCCTGTCCTCTGCAAAGAATCCTCCCACCTCACTGCCCTCCCGGAACTATGGATGAGGAAGGAGGTCAAGATCAAGGGGAACAACATTACTCTGATTGGCGGTAGCAACCAAGATACGGGAGTGTGAGACTGAGTCCGCGCAGCGCAGGACAGCTCTTACCAAAAGAAGGAGGTCAAAGAGCTCGAGCGCGGCAATGGCTTGCTGAGCGTTTCTGGTGAAAGCCCAGGGCGGGTCTGCAGTGACCTTGTGCTGACTTCCAGCCTCCAACCCAGGCGTGATCCGCCGCCCGGAAGCGCGGGAGCAAAGGTTTGGGGGGCCTGCCGGAAGTAGCGCGGGCCTTCTTTCAGCTCCAAAAGGGTTGGAGGAAAGGCTTCGTCAGAGGGCAAGCCGGCCAACAGCATGCAGGGTGTGATGGGGTGCGCCGGTGCTCATCTTGTCAGAAGCCAGGACCAGCCTTCCTCTTCCCTCTGCTTTGCATCTGCCACGCTGGTATACGCATACATCGGAGCGTACATGGCTTTAGAGGGGATAAAAGGGGAAAAGGATTTCAAGGCAAAACAAGACTGGAATGGTCCACTTGAGCCAAAAAGGTTTCCCAAGTGCCCTTACTCTGAGTTAAGTCAAGTGCACACCTACGGCTACACTTTTGCCCATCAGGATCCCAAGGGTTCTATCTTTAGAAGCCATCGTGCAGGTAGACTTAAACCCAAGAATTGGCATGCCTTTGGTTGCAAGTCAACCATGGGTTTAAGTCTACTTTGGGGTCAACCAAATGATGCGCCAGCTTGTGCTGCTCCTTCCCAGAAGGCCCCTCACCAAAAGGCCATAGCTTTGCCGTGGCTTCACGAATGAAAGAGAAGCTTGATGCCGGTTCTGGCGTGGATCATTGCTAGGAACAACCAGGGCCCACTGATCTCACGCCGAGGGAGGCTGCCTAAGATTCATGGCACCCACACTCAGGCACTTCATGCATGAGCGTGCACAGGCTCATAACCCACAAGCAGTGGTGAGCGGAAACTAGTCTTGCCACTATTTCTTTGCAGTACAGGATGATCTGCTGGCCCGATTCATAGCCATTGTATTCCAAGTGATGTTCTCAACAGCGTTGATCTCGTGCGGCATGACTCCCAAAAAAGGGGGGCAGTCATACGTGCGTTGCATGAGATACTTGCAAAGCATAGAGGACGCCATGCTGTGATGGGATAGACAGATGGACAGAAACACAGCCCTGCTTCTGGCACGGATGCTCAACGGTGCGCTTGCTGCGTGATGTCGGGTTCCTCGAAGGCCCTGGCGGACATCCTCTGAAACAACTTTGGTAGCGTGCTGGTCTCCAAATGGCCTGTTGAAGGGGAGCATCTCTAAGACACAGCACCGGCAGCACACAAGGGTCGCCAAGATTCTAAACACATGTGCATGCTGAGGTTGCGTCGGAGGGGGAACCTCGATGTTCAGAATTGGCCTCAGCACGGAAGCTCAATGTAACGAACGGCAGCGGATTGAAATAACACAAGAAAAAGTGGGGCATCTTGACATCGCAGAGTACCCCCTTGACTCTGATGTTCCGGCCTGCAAGCGTCGAACTCAAAAAGAAGGCCCTTTACATAGCATCAAGCTTGGCTGACCAAAGCTTAAGATAGGATTGAAATAATGGACTCTAGGATGCTACACACACACACATGATCGTCCTTTGGTGCAAGCTGGGACTCGTTTATGAGAACCCGTTTAGGGTTGCCATGCATTCAACACCATCACCAACTTCAAGCTTGGACTCGTGACTCGTGTATTTGCTCGGCACAGGAATGTTGACGTCACTTGGGTATCTCTCAAACAAGGCGACCCCGAAAATGAGGGGGAGGTTTTTCTTATTGTTTCCTTCAAACCAACATGAACAGGGTATCTACCCTCAACCAAAACATACCCATGTTCACAAGCGTCTGCACTTTTCGCAACGGACAGCTCAGGCCGTTGCCCAACCACAGGTTGCTTGGCGGCCAGGTTGGTCAGGGCCATGTTGGTCACCTTCACATGGGACGGTGCGGTGTTGGCTGCGGATCCAACCCTGTAATGCACTGTAGGATATGGAAAGGGTATGAACGAAAGCACCAGGGCAAACTTTAGAGGAAACCGCAAAACAAAAAGCACATCCCAACATATCCCAACCATGATGTTAGAACATGACATTCCACCAGAATTCTTCTCGAGATATCATCATCCTCTTCCATGGTCACGGAGACCTGTCCAAGATCACCCGACCGTGAGGTGGCGGGTTCCCATTCCACTTTTCCGGGTCACCCGCCTCCGTCAATTCCTTTTCTAGGGGTGGGGATTGCCTAAGTGGAAAGGCAAAGCTGCAACCTGCCTGCGTGAACCAGTCGTGCCTCTCAAGGATCATGCGCGGAACCTCGGTTGCACAAGCTCCAATATTAGACTCAGCCTACCGCCTACTGTCTCTCCTTCTTATAATGATAAAGCCCTGATTTGACCCCTTGCAAATGTTGGCCAACTGTTGGTGGCCGGGGGCACACTCCAAAATTCTGAAAACCCAGTTTGACAACAGCTTCGGCTTTTTCTGATCAGCCAGGCTGCCCCAAAACGAAACAGCAAAGGCGAGTAACTGACTGGATGCCACGATGTTTCATGTGAATTCAAACGAACATTGAGCCCTCTGCCGGCATCCGAGGCGCACATCAATTCAAAAGTCGAAACCTTCCTGACAGGCATGACTTCAGCCCCGAACTACTGCAAGTCTGATGCGCTTATGCGGCGTACCTGTGCGGAAGGCGTTTTGGCTTCGACCCTGCGGATTTCATGTGATGGTATGCAGTACCATTTTTCAGCTAGTTGAAAAGCGACACCAATGTAGTGACCCACTAGCTTTGCGGCTCTCAATAAAGGTTGGTGAAGGGAAAAGGACAATCATGCGCATCTATTGATGGAAAACGGGCTCTCCCCACCTGGTATTGATTGTGGCTCCAGCAAGGGGTGTACCTTGCTTTTTAGGGGCTGGCATGGAGAGTCAGGACGGTCATTGAACCCGTCCGGGCCACAAATGGAAACGCTGCCAAGCTAGCATTTGCCAAACCAAATAAGAAGTGCTACCAACACCTTTGGCATAGGCCGACTGGCCCAACAAACTGGCTATGAATTTCATTAAGGAATACCCTCCAACATGGTTGGCGGGCGCACGTCGACGCATCCCCACCCAAATGATGTCCACCTGAGGGTCGCCAAACAAATATATACCCGGCCGGCAAATCCAGTGCGTACTCTCCCTGGCACATCACCATTCGAGATCCATAGAGAAAGTCTGAAACAGCTCGGGTTGAGGCCATGAATCCATGAATCCCGGGAACAAATATCTCCTTTTAGTGCAACCCCAAAATGGGTGGTTTCGTTATGGTGTCTTGAAGAAAGTGGGGGCATTGCGAAGGCAGACAAGAGGGATGGTCTATGAACTACCTATCCCCGCTTTAAGTAGACTTTATTGGGCGATAATGCCTGTCTAATTCCCGGTCACCCATATCCCTACAAATTGGCGCCTGCGAAGGTGTCCCTCCAATGCCCCCCCCCCCCCCCAAAAAAAAAAGGATATCACCTCCAACATAGACACACACACACACCCACACGCACACACGCACCCAGCTGAGTTCTTTTGGTGTCCCTTCAAATTACACAATTCCGAAAAGTGTGCCCTCCAAGACAAGACTCTCCCATAGGGCACCAAAGGGCTGCATGAGAAGAAGCCGCGGCATCGTCGCATTCACATCCTCAGGCGGAGCCTTCTCCACCTGCGGTTGCAATCGGCCAACTCAAGCCAAGGCGTGCTCTGGGCCTGTCTCATTAATTGGGACATCTTTGTGGATGGGTTTGAAGCGAAATAGGAAATTCGCCTGTCTCAACATGTGGAGGCTGGCTTCCTTGGAAGCCAAGATGGGACAAAGGAAAACCAAAAGGAAGCCAACCTGGAGGGATTCCCAGCGTTGGGCGATCCATCCCCTTCAAGCATTTTTCAACCTCACTTCACTTTCGCTTGGGCTATCGGAGGCGGGTTTTACCAAACTTTGCACAGGGCTTCCTATACTTCCTCTATTAAACAATCACAATAGATTCACTTTAAATCGGCTCAAGTCACATCTAAAATCGAAGGGAGCCCTGCCCAACGAATGCTTGAACAGGACTTGGGGGTTACGTGGGAAAGAGCAGTCCTTGGAGGTTGCTGAGTGCTTCTCAAAATGCTGGTCGCTGAACTTGAATTGTTTCCTTGTGGATTCCCTTTAAACACCATCCAAAAGATGTTGCATATTGGGAGACAGGTTCAACCGCCTCACCCAAAAGACTTGGTGGACAAGCATGAAAGGTGGTTGTGGGCCTGGAACAACATTTTCGTGTGACGGAAGTTTTGCAAGTGAAACTTCCCTTGATAGCAAATACTATTCCTGAGCGGTCGCTTGTCAAGGTACCACAACATGGTCACACCACGACACGGCTCAGCTTCTCAGATGCCCACGAGCGCATGTCAACTGTCAGGAGCAGTTCAAACCCCTATGTTGGTACTATTACCCAGTGATCCCTAAAACCGGCTGCTGCCAGAGTTATCTTTGCACAGCACCTATGCACACGAGGGGCTGTGAACAAGCCCACAAGACTGAACCCATGACCATTCAGCACCAAGCAGCACATCGCTCACTCATGCAGAGCAAGGTATAACATCGGTGCAGCAAAATCCAGGTCCCTCCAGATACTGCTTTTCATGTCCAAAACCTCAACTGACGTCCAAAGAGCAGTGGGGGCGGCGCTAGTACAGCTGAAAGTATGCTCCGCCAGGCTTAGGCTCGCACCTGGTGCGCGATTCTGCAAATGTCGAACTCGCAGGCACGGCGATGCCTCAGAGCATGGCATAGCATCAATTGAAGGCTCAGCTCGCCTGGTTTGTGCCTCAATTTTGCAGTGCTGAAGCCCTCGAGCCTCACAAGTCCGCATGCCTGTTGAAACCCGAACGCTCCCAGGCAGGTGCCGATCTGAATGCTCAACACAAAGTTTGCTGAGGATCTCAATGCGGTCATCATGTTCTGCCACTGGTGTTCCAGGTAGCTCCAACGACTCTACATAGAAGGTCGGCCGGAAACCAAAACAAAAGAAACAAGCATGAGGATCCAATTTCCAATTTATGTTGGGGGTTGGTCATTGTCTGAGGTTTTCTGGGTACCCTTTTCACTTTTTGGAGCACCGTTTTTCTTCGGGGCCCGGCCACTCGTCCTTGCTCTCTTCCGGCAGCTCCTCCTTTCCTCCGCCATGCCACACCTCAGAGTTTTCCGTGCTCAGCCGCGTCAGTCACGTGTCAACAGCTGTCCCGGAATGAGTTGTTGCTTTTGTTTGAGGGTACCATTTTTCGGTGGTTTCTTGTAAAGGGATTGTTCTTTGGAGGGAGCGGGTGTTTTTTGTTGTTGAATGGGAAGGCCCGATTGGAAGGGAAATCAATATGTTCAAATGGTGATCCCCTGTATTTTGACGCATGGGAACCCAGCACCTCCCAACTGCGTTCTGGACAGCATACATGGGAAACAGTCTTGACTAAAACTCAAACGCAAGGAGTCTAAAGCTCCGGCTTTGGGCAAGCGAGCAGTGTATAAATATCATCCCGATAACAATTGGATGAGAGTAGATGGCACAATTCCCCGATGTCGGCTTAGTCCTCCCCCTTCACTTGGCCACATAAGGGGAATTGTGCCATCTACTTTCACCCTGTCAAAGGGGCTCAACGAAATGCTACTTCGGACCAACACTGGCTATCAAAACCGGGTCTAATTTGAATCGGACCGGAATCAGCAATGCAGTTAAGAAAACATAGTCAACATATGTCCAGTTGCCCTAATGGACATGCGCAAATTGGTTTTGTCCTTGACATCTAAGTCCCGCATTCCCGGCGCCCAAATCCTTTTGGCTTCCCTTTAATGTTAGGCGCAAGGAATTTCGTGGTTGATGCTTTTGGGGGGTGTCCTGTTGTGGGATTCCGGATCACTTCTGGGCCCAACAACCCCAAAGTAAATCCGGATTTATCCTGGGTTAAACTAACCCAAAGGGTACCCTGAAAGCATCCAAGGGCTTAGCCACTCCCAGAGGAGCGAAACAGTCCCTGGGTCATCGGGCCCCCTCCCCCACCAGGTCGAAGTCAAAGAGCACGCGAACGCGAGGCTCCTGTGCGAAAACAGTTCACCATATGGTTTCGGAAAATAAATGAAGATTGGGTTTCAGGCTTCAACTAGAGGAATTGGCGGCCACCGACTGCCTCTCTTTCATCTCTATCTGTTCTCCTCACTTCCGCTCGACTGCACGATAGCTGGTAAAAGGAAAGGTGAGAAGAGAAGAGATGTCCTTCTCTCGACGATTTCCAAATCCAGTGATAGATGAGAAAGGGAGAGGCGAAGCGAGTGAATGGGATAGCTTTGCACATCATCTCGCTCTGATGGCCCTTCCCCTAACCACCTCCATCCCCTTCGTTTCCGTTCTCGCTAATAAACTGGAGGTGGGGAGGAATGGCGGAAGGGAAAGGAGAAAACAAATAATCAAGAAACATTGGAATAAAAGCCCAAAATCATTGAAGACAAAGATACGGAATACAATGAAAGGTGAATATGTTTAAGAAGGCAAGCAATATGAAGAGATGTGATAGTGCTTACACGGCATATCTGATATTCAACTTCCACAGGATACATCTGCTTGACTCCAAAAGCTGAGATGCGAGGAGACAAGCTAAGCCAGGCCATTTCTCTCTTTATCTGAGTTTGCCCTATCTTCAGCGATATCTACTACATCATTGCAAAATCCGTATAACTTGTTTATTGTCTAAATGTTGCTGAGTAGTTATATGTTTATTAGTCATTTATCTGTTTTCTAAAATAATCGTTGTGTTCCTGTTTTAGTAATTTCAGTTGGTTGGCAATTTCCTTTCTTTGTCTCATTAATCCTTGGCTTTCTCGCCTTCACGGTCAAACATGACCAATAATTCCACGGTAGCCGAAAGAAGGACAGCCATTAATGTCTAATCCTATCATGCTCATTCTGGAGTTAGCGTCTATTTGGTTCATCTATCCTACTAGTTGCGCTCTCTTGATTCATCCTTATCTATCTGAATATTATGGATTCACAATTGTCAAACGGTCAGTCCGTTCCAAAGAATATACTTTGGCTAATTCATTACTTCTTCATTGTCGTCTTCATGTTATTAATATTACGTTTACTTTCTGTTTCCTCTCTTTATCACCTTCCCTCTCTGTCTCTTCTTCCTTCCCCCTCTTCACCAGCGAAGCGATTGGAGTCGTAGGGGAGGAAGAGAAGGAGGGCCGTCTCTACATCTCATGTTCTTCTTCTCGATGCAATTACTAAGAGTAATTATATCAAAAGAGGGGTCTGGATTTGAGGGGTCTGCATTCCATAGGTTTCCTCTAGAGTGAACTGTTTTGGGCGCGGCTTATTTGAGCACATTTAAGCCATTTCGAGACATTTCTATGACATTTCGATTCGTTTTGAGTTTGTTTCAGCGTAAACTAGGTGTGAGTGTTTTCAAACGGTTTTCACATTGAGATGGAAATGCTTCGAGCTTGCACCAACCAGCTCGTGGAAAGGACCTTGCACTAGCGCAACTAGAGCAAAGAAAAAACACACACACACATCTAATCTGCACTACACTTGTGATTCTAGCATCCTGAAAACAAAGTAGGGATTGAAACATTGTGAGAAAACTTCACAACACGCAGTAATGCCTCGAGCAATGCGTGATTCTTGGCGTGGACCCACTGTTGACAACAGGTGTAGGGTTGTCATTGAATCAATCCATGAAAACGGCCCGTTCCCCTCCATTGCATGTAGCCTAAATGATTGAATTTCATTCAAACAATCGTAACAATCGAGTACTGAATCCATCAACCCCTCCTCTTCCGAAAGGGCTGCCCGATCTGAGGCGTGAGCCCCGTATTTCAAATCAACATGATGAAAAGTTAAAGTCAAGTGTCTAGTCAAAGCGGGGTCAGTCTGTCAGTTCCTCTCTGGCAATTTGGAATTTGGGAGATTGATTGATGGGATCAATGAATCAAATCAAATATAACTGGCTGCGCGGCTTTTGTTCTAACGTGATTTGCGCCGCTGGCGCTGGACTAACAATGACTTGAAGACTTACCTGACAGCAGCCTAACTTGTCCATCACATCGCTACTCAACTGACTGAGCGGCCGCTGTAGCCGGGAAGGTTGAATTGCGCGAGGCACGCAGGTATCACACACTCATGCAAAGTTAGCCATGATTCTGAGTCTGGCATCTGCGCACGTTGCCAAAGGCCGCTGACATGGCTGGTCCGGGAGCGGAGTCCCTTCCGGGCTAGCCATTCATTTCCAACGAGGTGCTGTTGAACGTGTTGGGCATTGGGGGGATTGAGCCATGTGGTGGCAAGGTCTAAACAAATTCAAATGCTGCAAGAGGAAGAGTGCAACAATTCAATGAGCCGCGGCAAGGCCAGATGATATTCCCAATCTTAGTCAACCGCACACAATTCCGTTTCCACTCATTGATGCCGCACTGGCTGGACACTGTTTGCGCTGTGCTTTCACGAGCCTGACGCGAGTGACCTTACCTTGCCAGCGCAGACTGAATTACTGACTCACTGCAAGGGTGTGTCAGGGCCTCAGGAGTCAAGCAAAGTCACTCACCCTCGAATTCACACAGCCACGCTCAGGGCGTCATCCGCCCACCAACCTGCCAGGCCGTTGGGTTGTTCCATGATGAGGCAACGAGCCATCATAACCATGTCACTGCACTCATGACTCAGTTTGTCAATGGCCTACACAGACACGGAAGGATAGCAACCTGCTGCAAGCAAAGCTTGAGCAACCACCCTGCCTCTTCATTCTGTGGAAAAGCCGCAGGCCACGTCGAGATTGATTCAACTTCGCAACCTGACCTGGGCGCAACAATGCTGTTACATCACCCAAGCCAAAATTGGCATCATTATGAGTCGTCCAGCAACTAGTGTCACACACGCCATCCAAATCCGGACTCAAGCCGCAACTATTTCCAGCATCGTCGAATGACAGAGCCCGATCCTGCAGCCAATTTGGCTGAGCGCTGCCCGAGCAGCATTCCAAACAGAGCCTTAGCGCCTATAAGAAGCAAAGAAAGGCTCACGCGCATGATGCACGTGGGCCGATTCAGTGACAGCAGCATTCATTGAATTGAATGCGCCATGCGGCCAAAAATTGGAAAACTCACATTGCGCGCCCTTTGAATCGAAATTGGGAAACATACACCTTGCCCTCTGGCTCTGCCTGTGCCTCATGTCAAGCCTAACTTGTCATTGCAACTCCAAAGGGGCGCATGGTCGGCGTCGGTCTGAGTTAAAGCAACGTCGCTCGGGCTGGGGGCGTGCCAATCTCAAGACTCAATGTGAAATTAAGTTGTGCTTTCCAAGCGCCAAGGGCTTGACCTTACAAAATTACAATGGTTCAAGTTTCAATCAAGGGATGCGTATCCCGGTCCCGCACCCTCAGCCTCAGCGACTCAGACCAAGCCTGGCCTAAACCTACTCACGCCTTTGCCTTTTTCGGGAGGCGCTCTGGCGATGGCGTTGGGTCGCACAGCACCTCTTCCATCGAGCTCTCGTCACCTGTCTCGCATTCTCGGCAGCCTGAGCAAAGCTTCATCGTCGTCGAGCCCTCAGCCTCAGCTGCTGGTTCTTCCCATGATGGCATGTTGGGCATGTCTTCCATCATGTCGTCATCATCGTCCTCGTCCACCGTGGTCGAGGTATCGACTCTTGGCAATCGGTCACAGTATTCGTGCGCTGGTGGTTTCCATGGTTCATTTCTCTATAATACTTCAAAGTGGTGACAAATCGAATTAATGAAACTGATTCATCATAAAAAGCGCCCGCCCTGCCCCCCCCATCTTGCACCAGCCCAAGCCTTGGCGCTGCTGGACATATTGGCAAAAATACTACATCTGAATCTGCAAACACGACACGGCTGCGCGGACTGCGTGCGAGACTCAGTCTGAGACATGACAGCAACTGTCATCAGGATCATCAGTCAGTCAGTGACGGTGATACGGGAAAAGGAAAAATTAAAGTCGCCCACCATTGACAGCAACAATTAAAAGTCTATTTTTGAGAATGTGTGCGGGGGGCCAACTTCCAACCTAGTTTAAAAAATACACAAAATAAATCACAGATTTGGGTTTCCCTAGACTAGACCAGTGTGCCTTAGGCTAAGTAAGGCTTTATATTAAGCTAAGGTCATATGACATGAGAGCATGAATCAGTGAGGCCCGCTCACCCTGCACCTGAGACCTGTCTGGACCCTGCACCATTCTGTCAATCGGCATATACTAAGTATCATGGTCATGGGAGCAGCAGCAAGTTATGCAAATCAAATTTTCAAACAGCCCCGTCAGGGGGCCAGTACCGACCTAATAATTTATACAATTAATATCTCCTTGGGGCAGCTTCTCGCCATATCCCCGCACTAGTACGCAGTGACTCAGTCAAACTGCCAAATTAACATGTCAATTGCACGTCAGTCACGCGTAAAGCGTATGTCGTAACGCATTGGTGACTGCGTGGAACCACGTTTCCACACGCAAACACAGCATGCTCAATTTCCCTCAAAAAGGGCCCTAAAAACCTATCAAATCTAGACCTGTCAAGTCTAGGGCGGGGAAACGTTCTGGGGAAAGAGACATGACATGAGATAGAGATGTAAGGGGCTGCTGTGCGCTTCGGAAACAACAACAAAAAACAATCCAACAAAGCAAACAACAAAATTACAGCATAACAAAACACAACACAACACAACAAACACTAAAACAAGCGGAACAAACAAGCAAACAAGCAAGCACGCAAGCCAACGAACAAGGACCATACCATGACATAAACAAGGTGACACACACACACACAAACACACCAACAAACAAACAAAAACCAACCAACCAAACAAATGCAGAAGAAGGCAGGCAAGTCCAGGCAAGAAGTAGCAAGAAAGCAAGAGAGCAAGAGAGAAAGAGAGCAAGAGAGCAAGCAGGCAGGCAGGCAACCAAATAAACAAGAAGTAAACACACACACACACACTCACACACCAACAACAACAAAACAACCTGGAAACCGACCACCCACAAAAAACAACCAGCAAAGCAAGAAAGCAAGTACGCAAGCAACAAGCAAGCAAACAAGAAACAAACACGCGCACGCACAAGCACACGCACACGCACACGCACACGCACACGCACACGCACGCGCACACGGACACGCACACGCACACGCACACGCACACGCACACGCACACGCACACGCACACGCACACACGCACGCGCACGCGCACGCGCACGCGCACGCACACGCACACGCACACGCACACGCACACGCACACGCACACGCGCACGCGCACGCGCACGCGCACGCGCACGCGCACGCACACGCGCACGCACACGCACACGCACACGCACGCACACGCACACGCACACGCACACCCACACCCACACCCACACCCACACCCACACACACACACACACACCCACACCCACACCCACACCCACGCACGCACGCACGCACGCACACACGCACACACGCACACACGCACACACGCACACACGCACAGACACACAGACACACAGACACACAGACACACAGACACACAGACACACAGACACACAGACACACAGACACACAGACACACACACACACACACACATGCTTGACACATGCATTGCGGCCTCCTGGGCCAATGTACCTCAAACAGCACCCACCACAACTGCGTCGCTCCGAGACGACGCTATCCAGGGCTTTGAAGATGAAGCGCTTCGCCTGACAGGATTGCTACCGGCTGTGTCGGTGTCACCGCTCTTTGACCGACAAAAAGGCCTGAGAAGTCATGCCTTGGAAAGGAGAAGGCTGCTAATATGGCTAAGGAATCTTAGTGGGGAACTCTGACAAGGTTAGTTCATCGAAGTGATGTCCACCATGGGGTTCACATCCAGAAAAAGCCAGCATCCTGAAGACGCTGCAAGTCAGTTCACGTAAGTCCCTCTAGGCCTCTTCGCAAGCTTCTTTGGAGGCCGCAGCAGATGGCATGCTGCAGTTGCCACCTAAGTGAGGCTTGCAATATAGATCTTGTTTGCCCACTTGCTTCTTTGCAGCTTTTTCAGGGCGGTAGACGTAGATCTTGCGTGGCAACCCATGCAACCTTCCGTCCCTCTTGCTGCTTGTCTCCGGAAATCCTTCTGTTGCTGTCCAATCACTCTAATCTTGTCACCTAGCACAGGTTCGACCCCGTGATGGTGTGCTTTGTATAACCGCAGAGATTGCTTCCATATATTGAACTTGTAACTATAGCATATATGACAATCACAAACTAAGATCTCCTTTCGGGGAAGAACCTACTTGGATTGCTTCCTCCAATATGCAGGAGGGTGATGTCATTTTCGAGCACACCTCGCTACTGTGCTATGGTGGGCTCCATCCCACACAATGACATCGGATTGATCAACCTGCTGCAATGAAAGAGTGGTGTCATCATTGATCTTGGGACACACACCCCCACCAATTTACGTCAACAAGGGGTGAGTGTAATCTCATCCGTGAATATTACACAGGGGATACGGTGAAGCGGCTCCACAGGGCACGGTATTCTTCCAGTCTGCAATCCGCGGGCGTAATCCGGCTTAAATTGGGAGAAGCAATCCATGGGGCCCCACATTGCTCGTAAACCTCATCCACCTCTTTGTGCGGTTACAATTGGGATCAGCAACCCCAATTGAACTCCAGCAGCACCAACCACTATCTTTTCGACAGCACTTGGGATAATGCAGTTGCTGCCGGGTGCTGGAAGAGGGATCCTGGAGATTTGTGTGCGCTCTCGGATCTCCCTGGGCATCCGACCTCCGGAAGATGCCTGGCAAGGCGGGACTTTGGGGATGGCGATTTGTGGATCATTCCCGGGGGCAAATTGGCAAACTATAGAAGTATTTCCGGAACAGGAAATTAGAGATCCGTCTTCATACCTTGGATTGTTGCCTCCGGAGCTCGCCATAGGCGGGGAATCTGTCCAACATTCAGTCCTGGGGGCACACATGAGCCATGGTCAAATTTGCAAAGGGTGCCCTAAGAGGACATGGGAAACTAGTGAGTCCCCGTGGCTTTTGTGGGAAAACTTAGTAAGTTCCCTCATGTCCCTGGCACATGAACCATCGACTTGTAACCTTGACCAAACCTCACCTGGCTCTCCGCTGGAGAGCGCCAAGGGAATTTGATTTGCAAGAGCATGGGCAAGATTCTTCGAATGTGCTTTGGTCAAGGCTGCCAACAGGCAGCCACAGTGACTGTGACAAGTCTTGGGCACAGCAACTTGAAAGGGGTTGAAACGAATGATAGGCCTTCTCTTGGTTCCCCCTTGTCCGAAGCGGACAACAGGTCACCAGGTTTGGGTAAAGCCAACAATGTGAACACAATCTGTTCAAATATGCTTCTTTTCTGTACCAATCTCCGTTGCCTAGTAATGCTGGGCTTGTTTGCTGCCCCGACGAGGGCCCTCAATCTTTGATTCCCATGGTCGTGAAGTTCATCTGAAGAGTCATCCATTTTGTGAGACAACTATGGGTCATTCCCCACGATTGCTGTTCTCACGTTGAAGGGATTCTCTTGGTATCACAGAAGTGGCAACCAATCCTCCAAGCAGGATTCCTCAAAGGATAAATCATGATAAATCCAACAACCACCGAGGCTGAGGTTTACAAGAATTTGGCTCCTCATCCTCCCCCACCGGCCATCACAATGCCTCCATCACCGCCTTTGTGCGGAACCGGATCCAGGCGATGCAGCTGGCCCTCGAGCCGGTTTTTGGCTCCCCTTCAAGTGGCTTACCCCCCGTGTTCAGGGAAACCTAGAGGAAGCCAACCATTGGGAAGTTTGAGAAAGCCTATGGGCCTGGTGTGTCTGTTTTGGAGGGTACCTTTTTTCTTGGTAGGGTCCCGGCATTTTGACACCTAGCCATTTCCCCTGTAAGCATCACCTTGGCACAAGCAAACTCCCTTTAAATTGGCCCAGGTGATACTCAAACCGGCCAAAGCGAAAAATTGGGAATCCTTCCGAACCTACAAAAACCAGTTGCCCGGTGACCCGGGCAAAGTGGGGGGGGATTTATCTTTGGGATTCATTCAAGTTGTTGTGAGAAACCCGCCATGCCAAAAGGGATCTTTTAGGGTGCTACTGATCCAGTTGTGTCTGCGAGGTTCTGCAAAAACACACATGTTCGTCTAATTGAGGGCAAAACGGATGTGGTCGGTAGACTGTGGGTGCACTAGAATGGCTTAGGCGAATGCGAACCCAATACGGGTTTGCAAACGTTTGCGAACCTTCGGCTGTGCGAACGTGTCAAGAAAAGGTCAGCCGAAGCTTACGGACCCAGCCGGCGTTGTGCGAACCCGAATCCACGGAGGCTTGGCGAACCCCTCGCGAACCTGTGCCCATGAAGTGCGAACGCGTTTCTGCTGTTCCCATGAAGTACTGACCACATAGGTGTTTGGCCTGACTAGTGGAGACCCTCTGGTTCCATGCTAGGAGGGGAACAACCTGAAATGTATCGAAATCTCAGAATTCGAAACGTGGTGCGATGACAAGCTTCCTAAGAAAACAGGGAGCCGACAGGAAGCCTTTTCAAAGCGATGCCGCGAACCTTTGAGCAGGGTGTAAGTGGGAAGCCGACTTGAGGCGACTTGAAGTCCTGGATTTGGATAACCGGTCCCACAGAAGGGGGAGCAGTTACACGACTGAACAATCCTTGGGCCATTGGTATGGGCCCCGAACTTCCCTTGAAGACAATACGCCTGTTACTTACCGAGTAGCCGAGTTGCCTTATTCCCAGCCTGAGCTTAATATCCAAAGCTTGGTCTGTGCTCCGATGAGCTGCTCAGTGGCATAGCAACATCGGACGTCAGACAACTTCATGTGCGCTGCAAGTGGGCCAGCGCGGGATGCATCTGGCCGCATGTGTGAGTGGAGCTGTGGCTTGCATGACCTGTTTTTGGACCGTTCTTGACGTTCTGTACCCGCCCCCCATTATGGATGCTTGCCCTCCCCCCCCTCCCTTTTTGGATGGCCCTTCATCCGTCCGCGCTTGGGCCCCCCTGCCAGCGCAGGCCAGCCAGGCGAGGGGCCAACCTGGGGATTCAAATGGTATGGCTGGGACTCGGACTCAAACGGTACCCATTTTTTGGGTCTTTGTTTTAGACCCCCCAAACCAGAGGTCCGGTCTTGCTGAACTCAAGGCCTTGAAACCCCTTGCCCTCAAAAAAGGGAAGGACTCAAGTGGAGCCCCTGGCCTCCCAAAACCAGCCCAGCAGTATGCAGCGCCCTAGCGCAGGTGACCACTTCTTAGATTGGCTTATTTGGAAACCAACAGGAAGCCAATGGATCTGTCTCAGACTAGGAATGCCTTTTTGGATGGTTTTAAAGGGAAACCAAAGGGTGACTTCATTTTGAGACTAACCTTCATGTTGGCCAACATCCCATCAACCAAAGCACCGCAGCAGGCACAACTCATTCCACCTCAACATTTCCATGCCGCCACTTGGCGTAGAATGTTGCATCATAAGTGTGAAATCAACACGGATTGACAAACGCCAGCGAACTTCAACTCAGACATGGGACCATGTGTTTCCATGCCAGCATGTTTCTGTGTTCATATGTTGAATCTGCTTTGAGTTTGTAACCGCAAGAAACAAACCTGAGCATGGCCGCCATCTTGTCCACCTCACCTATGCAGAGTGTGGGATCCCCGTCACCCGATGCTTGAGCAATTCCTTTGCCGGCCTTCCCAGCTGATAGAAGCCAGCTTCAGCCTGCCTGGCTGGCGGAAATGGACTCCGGCCTGCCCTTCAGCCTGCCTGGCCCCCAGCGGATAAAACAGCGAATTTCCCATCATGCCCCTGGTCATCTTTTTTTTTTAGTGCTTCCCCCCGTCACTGTCCCACATTTCCCATGTAATTTGCCCCATGTTTCTGTAGATGTTTCCTATATGTGCTTCCCTACGGTTTCCCTTCAGCTTCGACATCCTCTAGTCTTATCTTGCCTACATTTCTCCGACATTGCCCCTTACGTATTTTCCCTCAAACATCTGCCATGTTTCCCCTACATGTCCCCTTTCTCCCCTTATTTCCCTATGGTTCCTTATAACTTCCTATATTCACCCTATAATTCCGCCCCCCGTAAGTCCCAATATTTCTTTATGTGGTCCCTGTTTCTTCATGGTTCCCCCATTCCACCCCTATGGAACCCACCAAGAGGGTTGCTTTTGGAGGCTTCCAAAACCTGCCAATCAGATTCAATATTTCATGGGAACGTATTTCTCCGATGTACCCGAGATTTGCTTGTTTCTGGCTGGTTCCATAAGTTCCCAACTTCCCAACCATGTGTTTATATATGCTCTCCATGTCCCTATTCCCCGGAAATTTGCTTACATCCCTACTCACTTCCTGAGTGGATTGGAAAAAAGAGCCTGAACTGTTCTCTTTCCACTAAAACGGTCTTCCCATTAAAAAAAAGAGAGGCAACCACACATGTCGCATAGTCCAGGAACTCATAAGAGAGAGCCTACCGTACAGCCTCGCCGACGTCTTTGCATGATCCCCATGTCCCTCCCTTTTAAAGGCCCTCGCTTGAAGGACTTCTCCACCAGCTCCAAGAAGCGCGGGCCCATGGACTCCTCCAGCGCCGCCTCCCTCGGGTCACCCGCGGCCCCGATGGTTCGCCCCGTGTGGCACCCGGACGTCCCCCCGTTGTTTCACCCGTTGCACCATGGGACACATTTGGAAGAAACCGAAAACCAGGTGTAGAAAATGGGTGTTTCTCAAAATAGTCCCTCAAAATGGTGGGTTTTCCATTTAAGTGTTTCTTGAGGGTACCCTTTCTAAGGATTGGTATGAAAGGGACAAAGGGAAACCGGCCCATTCCCTAAATTGGCAAGGGGTTCCTTGGCGGCGTGGTCAAAAGCCATTTTCAGAAACTCCCAATTAGGACAAAAGGCGTGTATAGTCGCATGTATAGTCGCGTGTATAGTCGCGTGTATAGTCGCGTGTATACTCGCGTGTATAGTCGCGTGTATAGTCGCGCGTGTGTGTGTGTGTGTGTGTGTGTGTGTGTGTGTGTGTGTGTGTGTGTGTGTGTGTGTGTGTGTGTGTGTGTGTGTGTGTGTGTGTGTGTGTGTGTGTGTGTGTGTGTGTGTGTGTGTGTGTGTGTGTGTGTGTGTGTGTGTGTGTGTGTGTGTGTGTGTGTGTGTGTGTGTGTGTGTGTGTGTGTGTGTGTGTGTGTGTGTGTGTTCAAACCACACACACACATGTTTTTCCAAGTACACACCAGTAGGTTGCGGTTTTGTTCTGTTTCCTAGAGGCCAACAAAAACAGGTCTTAGCCACAAGGGAGAGCTTGAGTCTCTGCCTGATGGAGGCTGACCATGGCAATTGATATTCATACTCTGGGGGCCGCGTTGGACCGAACCCCTCTGAAACTTGGCTGTTGACTGGCTTTGAAGGAGCCTACCCAGAATCCAATCCATGGGCTCAAAATCATCAAGCTCACGGATCAAAGCAGCACCATTTTTTCTGGCTCCCTACCTCTCAATCTAGCCCTTGAAACTCTGACTGAGGGCCCCGACCAGCATTTCAGAGACACCCGGAATTCCGGAGACTCCTTGCAAGCGCTTTTGGGCGACAACACCCCGACTCCCCCCAGCCAATGTGGGTATGTTCTAGTTGGGGGACCCTTTGGTGAAAGTCGCTGACATGGGAATTTCTGCACCAACCATTTTTTGGAGTGCTCCCGTTCAACGTCACCTTGAACAGAATGATTGTCAAACAGTCAACTGAGAGTGGAGACGTTCCACGGTGTTACCCTTGATAAAGGCTCCGCACACGGTTTAAGTTCGGGCTGGGGCCCCGCCAAACCCGTGTCTCAAGTACTGCCCCTTACTTGGGACTCCCTGTCTCTTTTGACAACTTGACAGTAATCCCCAAAGGAAATCCTACCTTTTTGGGTGCTGGTTTGACCCCTACATGTTCAGAGTTGTTGTTGCTTTTGTCTGGCAAGTGCTCAGACAACCCGCTCGCAAACAGGGCTCCAAAACTTAGCACTCCTGGCAGCTTACCAGTCAGAGACAAATGATGACACAAATCCTCTTTCTTTTCGACACGCCATGATGGGTCTCAAAATGGACCTTGGGTTCCCTTTGTTTCCCTTACCACCAAACGTGTTACCACCAAACGTGGTACTCGCAAAGGCAAACCCGGAATAGACCGAGGCCCTGAGTCACTCCTCCTGCTCCCAGGAGGGCAAGCCCGGAAGCGAGCCCTGGGCTAAGCGCGCCATAAAGACCTCTGAGCTAAATCGAGGGACCTATTGCTTCATTTTCCACAGGAAGAGGGTCACAACGCACACCCTTTGCACATTATGTCAATGCATATTGAGCAAAGCGGCTGGAAACGAATTGGGATGGGGGATAGATTCCTGTGGCTGTCAAGTCAATGTCGCTCGGTCCCTGCTTTTCTCCGAAAAGAAGACTGGATCAACAGTGGAGTGCGAGCAGTGCGGCTATTGAAAAGGCAACGCCAGGGCGAAGCCGGTGCCCCTGAATGATGACTTGTTTTCATGGGGCGAAACTGCTTGAAGAGCTCTGTTGAGCAGCTGTCAGTGTATGCAGCCCAGGTCAGCCCTTCCTTTCAATCTGAATAGGCCTTTCCCGGCTTGTGTGAGCATATCGATACCCAGCTGGGTGAAGGAAACAGAGTTGAAACACGTTGCGCATCAACTGCTGGCTTGTGTTCGCAAGTGCTGCCTACCGTCATTCCAGACGACACACAAACAAGGAGAACTATGACATCGCCACACTGAATAGGACCAACATTGTCACCAAAGTGTTCTTCAATGGCATCCCCAAACAAAAACGCAGTTGACATCAAACGCCTCACCCACCAGTCACCGACCCACTGATTAATCAACCAACCCACCCAGTCAACCACGCAAGCAAACATGCTCAGAAAGAAAATCTGCACAGGGCTGTGGCCAAGGCTTCGCGTCGTAAGTTGCACGGGCTGGTTTCCGAGAGACAGGAGCTTCTTCTCAGCCCCTATTCAAGCACAATGAACACATTGGGTGAAGTGTTGCTTGAAAGGTATCATCCTTTTAGGTTTTCGAAGAATGAGGCGTGGTGCGTCAAGGTCCAATCAGTTTCATAGTCGTATCACCCAGCCGGATGCACGTGGTCAAACTCTTTGTGCCATGATCATGGTCCCCATATAGGGATGTGAACCCGAAAGCCGTGTTTACAACAACAGGGCGGTTGATGACCATGTCAGGCTGATTGAGGAGCCCTCCGTAAATGGTTGGTGCCCCAAATAGGTTGACCCGAGAAATTAGTGGCTTTCCTTTGAAAAGAACAGGTATCCTCGAAACTGGCACAGCTGCAACGATCAAACTCTTCACATATGTCGGCCATGGTTTTCAGTCTCTGCACTGATTGATGTTCAAACCCCAACTCAAATTCCGAACCGAATAGACGGGTACACCAAGGATCCCAAGTCGCTTGAGCACCCATATTCTCCCATCCGTAAAAAACGGTCGTCCTTACCACGGCACAGTTTGGTCCGGCCTCCTCGAAGAGGCGGTTCCCCACCTCCAGGATCCAGCGGCCAACAGTTTCCCCGTCCATGATGACCTGAGCGTGCTGAAGGCGGGGGGGCGGGGTCGATAGGCCCCTAGGCGACAAGGAGTGTCGGTCTGGCTGCGGGCATTTTCGGGTTCCGGAGATGTTCCGGCTGTCACCTGGGCATGTTTTTCCCCCAACTGACCGGTTTGAACTCGTTTTTTGTTGGGAGGGTGGGAGAGCGGGGGGGATTGCACAGGGTTCCCAAAAGGATGTGTCCAAGAATCACATCACAAAGGGATCCTCCAGGTGAATGTGTCAACATGGCCAACATGCATTCTGATCCCGCAACCCTGACTGACCAGTGGCTTTCTGAGTAATACATTTCTTAATTGACCGGTTAAGACATTCGGGGTTGCCAAAGGCCTGCCTGGTGTAACTCCTGCTACATGTCGGAAGATTCAATCGAAAGGACAAATTTCTGGCCGCAACTTGGTGTGCGTGTACTCCATGGCAAGTACATGGTAGAATTTCCATAACTCAATTGCTCACTCATGCAGGACGGTTCACTTCCAAATGTAACTGCTTGCACAGTTGATGAAGAAGGATGGCAGGGTTCCCTATATGTCCAATCTGAAAACATCATTACTACCAAAAGAAACTTACTTTGCAGGGGCCAACAAAGGTGACGTGTAAAACCACCGAAAGGGACAGGGGTGGGCCCCTGGATGATCAGGACGAGGATGGCAAGAATGAGAAGAAGAGGGTGCTGATGTTTGCTGCTCTCCTCAACCCAGGCCCCTTTGCCATGCAAAGACGGAGATGGCAGGGCCGATCAAAACAAATACCCAGTGCGAGCGTTTGGATGGAATTAGCCCAAGGGCTGCGCCGCCTACAGCCCCTGTCTTGTACTCGGCAACTGACTCGCTTGGATGTCTTGACAGACGATAACAGCAACCGCTCTGCTCTGCAGGCAGCCAATTATCGTACCGGTTCAGGCGCAACACCCCAGATCCCCAATACACAACTTGTTGGCCCCTGAGGGTTCTTCAATGTTGTGTCTCGCTTGCAACACATATGCGACAATTCAAAGGAGAAAGTGTGTGGCACGAATGCTACGGTCAACAAACACATACCAGTATCTGCAGCGCCTGGAATTTGAAAAGAAACTTGCAGCCGAATGACAAAGCCCGCGGACACACTTTTCTCTCAACCGCCGGCTCTCTTCATTAATTCATCAATCAATACATTTCAAGGAAACAACGCAACAGCTCGCATCATGTTTCAAAACGGGCACAGATTCCGTCTCACCGTCAGCCCGACAAACGATGACCAGCTCCCTGGGCAGGCAGTTCAAGGCATAGTACCGAAGTTGTACTCGGCTCTCCACTCTCGATTTCTGGGCCTTTCCAAACGTCCCGGATCGCGAAGTTCCCAATCCGGACACTACAAGTGAAGCCACCGGTTAGGATCAGCCACTTAGTTGGCCTAACGGCCAGATGATCTGAAGGCAGTGAAAACGAGGAGACTGATTTTGAACACCCAGCTTGTAACAATGAATTTGAAGAAAAACAAAATGACCTTTGCTTGTCACGCAGCTTCTGCCCTCACTTCTCAGCACATTCTTTAGGGGGCTGAGAAGTCAACAGCAGCTGCCATCCCTCGAGCGCACAATTGCAACACATACCGCAGCGTATCTGCCGTGGAGAGAGTCACCCAGCAGAATCAAAGACATGAAAACGCGTGCGCAGAATTGTTTGAGTCCAACCCAATAGGAGCACCTGCGGATAAGCTGCAAAAAGATTCAACAAGCCAAGAGCGAAAGGAGTCCTCCTTCAAGATTCATTCGTACCTGTATGTTCCGGCAAGGGGACCGTCCTATCCTATATCTAGCTCAATCTTTGATGGCTCGATTTGGGCGATGCTCGGTGACTGGGTCCATTCAAGTGATCCTTATAAACGAGAACCCGTGAAAGTGCAACCGCATGGGTATGTATCAAAGTAGGACCCGAAGAGTGGTGGGTTTCCTTTTGTCTTCGCTTTCACCCCAAAACGGCTGCCCTCAAAAAACAACACCCCTATGAAAGGGAACTCAAACAAATACCCCCGACAGTACTTTAATAGACGCAGTCAAACGCATCCAACAAAAAAGAACCACTGAAAACGAACTCCAACTTGTCTTCTCCAACTCATGGACCAACTTGTAGAATCCCTTTTACTTGGCTTGGATGGGCAATTAGGGGTGGGTTTCCACTTACTAAGGAACCAAAGGTTCGAGCACCCAAACCACCAATCCAAACCACCAATCAAGGGTTCTCAGAGTCAGAATCTAACAGGCATAATCAAGATCCTCTTTTGATGGAGGCCACATGAGTCCACCCAATCCATTCAAGCCAGGACTAAGGTTGCGGGCGCTGACTTGTTGTCGCCGCTTCCAACCCAGGCGCCTCGAAGATGCGGGGCGCCGTTGGCCTATCGATCCGGAACCGAGAGCCGTTCATCGGTGAAGCCTAGTCATTTCTTTCAGGTTGCCCTACTTCGTTGGTTTTGTTTTGTGTGTGTATGTTGCGTGTGTGCTTGGTGCTGAGGTTTTCACTACAGTCAAAGCTGGAAATGGAATTATATATATATATATAATATGTGTGTTGTTGAGGCTCCGAATCATTTCAAGATGGAATAAACGGAAGCCAGAAGGATAACTGATAACCGCAACCACATCTCAGAAGGGGTGGTCCTCATCTGGCTTCATGAAAGCAATAGAAAGCCCCGGCTCTTGACCAACCACAGAAGAATTCACACCCCTGGCTGCAACCCGCCAATCCACAGCAAATCCGCCGACAACAGACGGCGTGTTGGACATAAGAAATGCTCCTTACCTCTTTACCTGTTACCCCTCCCCTAACCCCTCTTTAGGGGCAGCATTTCAGACTATTGCGGGGGGGGGGGGGGCCACGTACCACGCAGTGATTCGAAGACGCTTCACTAAATCTGTTCATTGTGCGGGGTGTTCGATTCCCCCCGGGTGCGCTTTCGCATCCTTAGCAGCTCCAGCGGCACATCGCCAGCATCACCTGCATCATCCGCATCAGCGCCTGCCAAGGATGCAGATGATGCAAGTGATGCTGGGGATGTTGCCCATGCTGGTGAAGGAAATGAAGGGGGGGAAAGGGGAAAGGATCTCAACAGCGAAAGGGGGGGAAAGATCTCAGGGAGGACAGGGAGAAGATCTGGGGACAAAATGCCTTAAGGGGGAAAGGGGGGAAAAGATCTTTGGGAGGAAAAGGGGGCAATGGGGGGACAGGATCCCAAACGGGAAAGGGGGGAAAAGACTTTGGGAAGAGAAGGGTGGAGATCTTGGGGGGAAAAGGCCTTAGCGGGGAAACGAGGGAAAGGATCTTAAGCGGGAAAGGGGGGAAAAGATCTTAGGGAGGCAAAGGGAGACGAACTCAGGGAAAAGGACTTAGGGAGGAAAGGGGGGGGGAAGATCTTTCAAAGGAAAAGGGAGAAGAACTGAGGGTTGGAAAAGGCCTTAGAAGGAAAAGGGGGGAAATAAATGATCTCAACAAGGAACTGGGGGGGAAAGATCTTAGGGAGGAAAGGCAGAAGATCTGGTGCAAAAAGGCCTTCGGGGAAAGGGGTGGAAAAGATCTTAGGGAGGAAAGGGAGAAGATCTGGGGAAAAAAGGCCAACAGGGAAAGGGGGGAAAAGATCTTAGGAAGGAAAAGGGAGAAGCTCTCAGGGGGGGAGAGGCCTTGGGAGGGAAAGGGGGGAAAGGATCTCAACATGGAAAGGGTGGGAAAGATCTTAGGGAGGAAAGGGGGGGGGAACATTTTAGGGACGAAAGGGAGAAGATCTGGGAGAAAAGGACTTAGGGGGGAAAGCCCAACAGGGAAAGGGGGAAAAGATTTAGGAAGGAAAAGGGAGAAGCTCTCAGGGGGGGGAAAGGGGGGGAAAGGGGGAAAAGGATCTCAGCAGGGAAAGGGGGGGGGGGAAAGATCTTAGGGAGGAAAGGGAGATGATCTGGGAACAAAGGCCTTAGGGGGGAAAGGGGAGAAATGATCTCAACAGGGAAAGGGGTGGAAAAGATCTTGGGGAGGAAAGGGAGAAGATCTGGGGGAAAAAAGGCGAACAGGGAAAGGGGGGAAAGATCTAAGGAAGGAAAAGGGAGAAGCTCTCAGGGGGGGGAAAGGCCTGAGGGGGGAAAGGGTGGGAAGGATCTCAACAGGGAAAGGGGGGAAACAATCTTAGGAAGGAAAAGGGAGAAGATCTGGAAAGGCCTTAAAGGGAAGGGTCTCAACAGGGAAAGGGGGCAAAGGATCTCAAGGAGGAAAAGGAAGAAGATCTCAGCGAGGGGAAAGGCCGTAGGGGGGAAAGGGGGGAACGGATCTCAACAGGGAAAGGGGGGGGAAAGAGGAAAGGGAGAAGGTCCCAGGCAGGGAAGAGGCCTTAGGGGAGAAAGGGGGAAAGGATCTCAACAGGGAAAGGGGGCAAAGGATCTTAGGGAGGAAAAGGGAGAAGATCTGAAAAGGCCTTAGGGGGAAAAGGGGGAAAGGAGCTCAACAGCGAAAGGTGGGAGAAGATCCTAGGGAGGAAAAGGGAGAAGATCTTGGGGGGAAAGATCTCAACCAAGGGAAAAGATCTTGGGGAGGACAAGGGGGAAGATCTCAGGGGGGGAAAGGCCTTAGAAGGGAAAGGATCTCAACAGGGAAAGGGGGCAAAGGATCTTAGGGAGGAAAAAGGAGAAGATCTTGGGCTGAATCTGTTCATTGCGCGGGCTTGCGTAACCCAGTTTGTCAAAAACATTGGGGTGTTCGATTCCCCCCGGGTGCGCTTTCGCATCCTTAGCAGCTCCAGGGCACATCGCCAGCATCACCTGCATCATCCGCATCAGCGCCTGCCAAGGATGCAGATGATGCAAGTGATGCTGGGGATGTTGCCCATGCTGGTGAAGGAAATGAAGGGGTGAAAAGGGGAAAGGATCTCAACAGCGAAAGGGGGGGAAAGATCTCAGGGAGGACAGGGGACAAAATGCCTTAAGGGGGAAAGGGGGGAAAAGATCTTTGGGAGGACAGGGAGAAGATCTGGGGACAAAATGCCTTAAGGGGGAAAGGGGGGAAAAGATCTTTGGGAGGAAAAGGGAAATCTTTCTCGGGGGGAACAGGCCCTAAGGGGCAATGGGGGGACAGGATCTCAAACAGGAAAGGGGGGAAAAGACTTTGGGAAGAGAAGGGTGGAGATCTTGGGGGGAAAAGGCCTTAGGGGGGAAACGAGGGAAAGGATCTTAAGCGGGAAAGGGGGGAAAAGATCTTAGGGAGGCAAAGGGAGACGAACTCAGGGAAAAGGACTTAGGGAGGAAAGGGGGGGAAAGATCTTTGGGAGGAAAAGGGAGAAGAACTGAGGGTGGGAAAAGGCCTTAGAAGGAAAAGGGGGGAAATAAATGATCTCAACAGGGAACTGGGGGGGGGGAAAGATCTTAGGGAGGAAAGGCAGAAGATCTGGGGCAAAAAGGCCTTAGGGGGGAAAGGGGAGAAATGATCTCAACAGGGAAAGGGGTGGAAAAGATCTTAGGGAGGAAAGGGAGAAGATCTGGGGAAAAAAGGCCAACAGGGAAAGGGGGGAAAAGATCTTAGGAAGGAAAAGGGAGAAGCTCTCAGGGGGGGAGAGGCCTTGGGAGGGAAAGGGGGGAAAGGATCTCAACAGGGAAAGGGTGGGAAAGATCTTAGGGAGGAAAGGGGGGGGAAGATCTTAGGGAGGAAAGGGAGACGATCTGGGAGAAAAGGACTTAGGGGGGAAAGCCCAACAGGGAAAGGGGGGAAAAGATTTAGGAAGGAAAAGGGAGAAGCTCTCAGGGGGGGGAAAGGCCTTAGGGGGGAAAGGGGGAAAAGGATCTCAGCAGGGAAAGGGGGGGGGGAAGATCTTAGGGAGGAAAGGGAGAAGATCTGGGGGCAAAGGCCTTAGGGGGGAAAGGGGAGAAATGATCTCAACAGGGAAAGGGGTGGAAAAGATCTTAGGGAGGAAAGGGAGAAGATCTGGGGGAAAAAAGGCCAACAGGGAAAGGGGGGAAAGATCTAAGGAAGGAAAAGGGAGAAGCTCTCAGGGGGGGAAAGGCCTGAGGGGGGAAAGGGTGGGAAGGATCTCAACAGGGAAAGGGGGGAAACAGTCTTAGGAAGGAAAAGGGAGAAGATCTGGAAAGGCCTTAAAGGGAAGGGTCTCAACAGGGAAAGGGGGCAAAGGATCTTAAGGAGGAATAGGAAGAAGATCTCAGCGAGGGGAAAGGCCGTAGGGGGGAAAGGGGGGAACGGATCTCAACAGGGAAAGGGAGGGGGGAAAGATCTCAGTGAGGAAAGGGAGAAGGTCCCAGGCAGGGAAGAGGGCTTAGGGGGGAAAGGGGGAAAGGATCTCAACAGGGAAAGGGGGCAAAGGATCTTAGGGAGGAAAAGGGAGAAGATCTGAAAAGGGCTTAGGGGGAAAAGGGGGAAAGGAGCTCAACAGCGAAAGGTGGGAGAAGATCCTAGGGAGGAAAAGGGAGAAGATCTTGGGGGGAAAGGGGGAAAGGATCTCAACCAAGGGAAAAGATCTTGGGGAGGACAACGGGAAAAGATCTCAGGGGGGGAAAGGCCTTAGGGGGGAAAGGATCTCAACAGGGAAAGGGGGCAAAGGATCTTAGGGAGGAAAAGGGGGAAGATCTTGGGGGGGAAAACGCCTTAGGGGGGAAAGGGCGGGAAAGGATCTCAACAAGGAAAGGGGGGAAAAGATCTTAGGAAGGAAAAGGGGGAAGATCGCGGGGGGAAAAACGGCCTTAGGGGGGAAAGGAGGGAAAGGAGAAAGGGCCTTAGGGGGGGAAAGGGGGAATGGATCTCAACAGGGAAAGGTGGCAAAAGATCTTAGGGAGGAAAAGGGAGAAGATCTCAGGGGGGGAAAGGCCTTAGGGGGGAAAGGGGGGAAAGGATCTGAGCAGGGAAAGGGGGGGAAAGATCTTAGGGAGGAAAGAGAGAAGATCTGGGGGCAAAGGCCTTAGGGGGGAAAGGGGAGAAATGATCTCAACAGGGAAAGGGGTGGAAAAGATCTTAGGGAGGAACGGGAGAAGATCTGGGGGAAAAAAGGCCAACAGGGAAAGGGGGGAAAGATCTAAGGAAGGAAAAGGGAGAAGCTCTCAGGGGGGGGAAAGGCCTTGGGAGGGAAAGGGGGGAAAGGATCTCAACAGGGAAAGGGGGGAAAGGATCTCAACAGGGAGAGGGGGGAAAACATCTTAGGGAGGAAAGGGAGACGATCTGGGAGAAAAGGACTTAGGGGGCAAAGCCCAACAGGGAAAGGGGGGAAAAGATCTTAGGAAGGAAAAGGGAGAAGCTCTCAGGGGGGGGAAAGGCCTTAGGGTGGAAAGGGGGAAAAGGTTCTCAGCAGGGAAAGGGGGGGGGGGAAGATCTTAGGGAGGAAAGGCAGAAGATCTGGGGACAAAGGCCTTAGGGGGGAAA